CAGAATGCAACAAATGACAGGGATGGTTTGGAGTAACTGCAGAACACAAAGGGGGCTTCCTGCAAACCTTGAACTTGCACATAAAACAAAGAATCTTCTCTAGGAAATTAAGTGACCAATTTTTAGCTGTACATGAATGACTTCCAGAAAAATCAAGTTGGAACTAACCTTTATTGTAATTCCAGTTGAGATTTCTGCGTCTTGGATCCCTGAAGTGTTTCCATGATGTCTTCTCCAATTCACGAAGGTCCCTTTTTCTTTTTTAAATGTTGCCTTCCTTCATCGCTGCTTCACTTCATTTCCCTCCTCTTTATGACTTCCTTAATCTGAGGATCCTGCCACTGGAGAGGCAATGTTCTCACCAGATAGATAAGTGTATTTTATGCTCCAACGTTTTTGGAAAGAGAATAAATACGCTAGAACTTGAATTTTAAGAAATGCAGATCTTACAGCTACGTAAGCCCTCAGCCTTCTAACAGTATTAATAGCCCCAGGACTCCACAGGATCTCATCGTTAAGGTTTTGCCTCTCAAACTGTGGCCTAAATATTGGCAATATGGACACCAGCTGGGAGCTAATTAGACACACAGCCTCTCCTGTTGGCCCATGGCAGCCAGGCCCGTGGAAGCAGCAGCTGAAATTGAAGAGAAATCCAGGTGATTCCCATGCACACGGAAGGCTGAAAAGCAGTGGGGGATGGTCCTGATAGCCACGTTTCAGAAACTTCCAGGCATCCCATGCTTTTCAAGTGATAATTCTGTCTTTAGGAAAGAGTTTGATGTCTCTGTCTCTCTAGACTGAAAGCCTAGAAAGGAACATACACATAAGTGTCAGGTCCTAGACCCATACACGCGATCACAGCTGGAAAATTGGTGAATTAGTAAATGCCAACTTAATCTCTGGCTTTTCTGCTGTCCCAAACTGCTAATCTTCCCAGGTTTAACTGGTTTTTATGAAATGCAAATACATCTATTTTTTTCTATAATCTTTATTTTTATAAGCCACAGGGAGGGAGTAGTGGGGAAGAGTTCTTCCATTTGCTGGTTCACTTTACAAATGCAACAGCTGAGGCTGGGCTAGATGGAAGCCAGAAGTCAGAACTCCAAGTTTCCCACAGGGGTGACAGAGAACCAAGCACTTGAGCCATCACCTGATGCCTCCCAGGGTGTGTGTTAGGAGGAAGTTTGACTGGAATTTGAGATGGGACCTGAACCCAGGGTGTCAGATATGGTATCCGAGCATTCCCAAGCAGTAGCTAAACCCATGGTACTATAAACCCCACCCCTACATTCTAACTCTTTACATATCATGTTCAGAAAGCCTGAACTTTCTCAGATATTGAGGGGATGATTAGGAAAGAACCACAAGATCAGGTAATATGCAGTTTTTCTTTTTACTTAAATTACCTGCTTATCCAGGATTTGAGTCCTTCAGTTGCCAAGAGTTCTCTGAGTACTGGAAAGAAGCTATTAGCTATGCTTTGTACAACTCTGGAGAAGCACTTTTATTGTTAAAGCTTTCATTTAGTTTCTTTACTGCTATTTTCTCCATCAAGAAAGATTATTGAAATACGAGCAAAATGTTCTAAGCTAACAAAGTCACCAGTAAAAAGACTTTTCACTTACAATTCATACAAAGCTATGCATTTTTCAATTTTTATTCATTTAAAATATAAAAGCAGTATATACTGCCTTAGGAGCATGATGCTTTCCAAACCTGCCCTCCTTCTCTTTTCCCTCCCTTTCCCTTTTCTTTTTACATTGACATACGTTCAACTTTATAATTACAAGCTTAGTCTTCACTAAACATTCAAAAAGTAGAAACACCACTGTTCCTGAAGAATATAGACAATGACTAAATACTCAAATCTCAGAATTATTTTGCTCATATTATTATTTTATACTCTGTGTATGAACTACCACAAATTAAGAAAAGCATGATATTTGTCTTTGGGGGACCGGCTTATTTTGCTAAGTATAATGGTCTCCAATTACATATATTTTGCCGTGAAAGACAGGATCTCATTCTTTTACATAACTAAGTAGCTCCATCGTGTGTGTGTGTGTGTGTGTGTGTACATTACAGTACAATTTCTGTATCCAAGTATTAGTCGATGGCATCTGGCTTGATCCTGTTTCCTTGCAATAGGGAACTGCTATAAACACATGGATACAGATAACTCCATTGTACCAATTTCATTTCCTTTGGGTAACTTCCCAGGAGTGGAATGACTGGGTCATATGTAGATCTATTTCAGATTTTGAGGAATCGCCATAGTGACTCCATAATAGATACACTATACATAATAGACATATATTCCCAACAGGCTACCATATCCCCCCACACCCTCACCAGCAGTTGAAATTTTTCTTCTGTTTGCTGACTGTCTAAAAGTGGGGTGAGGCACAATATCACTGTGGTTTCTATTTGCATTTTTTCAATGGCTGGTGATTCTGAGCATCTTTCACGTGTTTGTTGGCCATTTGCATTTCATTCTTTTACAATGCCTGTTCAGATCCTCAGATAATTTCTAAACTAGATTGTTGAATTTCTTGAACTCCTTATATAGCCTGGATATTAACCCTGTATCAGACATATAGTTGGCTAATATTTTCTCTCATTCTGTCAGTTGCCTCTTTGTGTTTTACTTTGTAGAAGTTTTTAGTATGTTATCCTTTTTTTTTTTGCCTTTATTGCCTGAACTTCTTATAGCTCGTCCTGTCTCTTCATCAAAGAATTTGAAGCACACATTTAGAGTAAAGCATAACTAAAGCACTTTGCTAGAGATACAACAAAGGTCTGATGTTTTTGGATGTGCATGCTGATAAGTGTTTCATATGTCATATGTTACAACCTAGAATCACCATCATGTAAGCAGCTTACCAACCAGTAAAGGGGGTTCCACTGTGAGTGACTTCTATGAATCATCAAGCCGCTCCAGCAGCACACTTTTCCCAGTCACAACAAATAAAGTTCAAAGCAATAAGAAACAGACCACTGGTATTATTAACAATATTTTTATTTACAAAGAATTGCTTTATTTGGCTGTTTGGAAAAGCACTAACATTTTCACTTTAGAAAACATTAAATAATAAACAGGCTGTTATACAGTACTTTGGATAACTTCTTCCATCAGTTTAGTGCAATGCATTATTGGCACCTAAGAGTGAAATTTTCAATTATTTTCCCCTTTCATCTTTATTTGTGCAGTTATATGGCCAGAAAGGAAATGGATCATTAAAAATGGAATTAAAGCCATACTTTTTTGGCCTCCACTCAAAGGATTAATGATTTGTATTCCCTGTCCAGTCCTGCTCTTACCGAGTTAAATGATAAAATGCCTTCTATTGTACCTGGTGTTCTAAATGTGTTACTGTTCTGTGAAACATGGGCGATCCCAACTGGGTAGGGAAACTGAAAGGTACTACCCCCACTAAAGGAAAGGGTGGGAGGTGCCGGACACTGCACTTTTTCCAGAAGCTAAATTATCTTATCATACACACAGCAAAGAGAATGCACCAGACAAAAATCTCTCTGAACTGTGTTCCTTCTGGGGTCTGTTTAAAAACACCTGAAGCATCAACCACTGAGCAAATACAAGGCTTACACGTTAAAGAAAAAGAAGGCTTTAAACACCATCACACTGGGACTTTTCTGAGATAATGAAGCATCTGCCAATCACATTCTTTTGGTACAAATAGGATTTTTTAAAAAATTACTGTTTACTTTTTGCTTTAATACTGCTAGGTTTGGTAAAATGGAGACATCTGAGTAAGCTCAGCATTAGGTAGACCCCGCCTCTTTTGATCTTCCTCCGCTGGGTGCTGACCAGGGAACTGCCTCAATGTGATCTTAGTCCAGATTATGTCTGCATATTTTCCTTACAAACTCAACGGATCAAAACCTGTTAATTTACCTTGAAATAAGGAACATCTTTAACCATCTGAAATCTTGATCTGATTTTTGAGAATCTGCTGGGGTAGGAAGAAACAGAGGCTAGAGGGAAAAAGGAAGAGAGAAAAAGGAAGAGAGAGAGGGAGAAAAGAAGAAAGGGGAGAGAGGAAGAGAGTGAGAGGGACAGAGAGAATTCTTTTTCTATAAAGGGTTCCAAATTAACAACTGTCCCGGTCAGGAAACACTCCCTCACACTCCTGGCTAAGGCTGCTTCCTCTCGTGCTATTCTTAGTGCATATGGGGAACAGCTGCTCACCATCCTCTCTGTGCCAACCCTTCATATACTTGAAAACCATCAAGGGTTTGCCCCTCAGTCTTCTCTTCTCCAGGCTGAATAATCCCAGCTCCTTTATTTTCTCATCATAGATCCTTTTTTCCAACCCTTTAATCATCTTTGTGATTCCTGGCAAAAACAGCAGAGAATATTTTGATTACTGGATCAGAAATGAAGAAAAGCCTTAGAAGTAAGTTGACTTTTAAAAGCCATTAAAAAAAAAGAAGAAGAAGAAGAAGAAAGGTAGAATATACAGGGAAGAAATAGTACTGGGCATCCATGGATCTTAGAATTCCAGTCTTACCCTGCTTCCCCAAAATGGGGAATCTCCATTACAATACACTGAAATGCCTCCAAGCTCGGAATTTGCTTCCTATCCCATTCGTGATGTATGAGCTACACCAGTCTAATTTACATCGACTTAATATGAAAATCTGTCCCATGGCCCTTCCCCCCTGCTTCCACTCACCCCGCTTCCACCTAAAACGCATTTTCTCTAGAACAACCAAAACTTTTACAGAGCGTCTCACAAGCTAACGGAAAGCCATGTTGTAACAGTAGAGGCTGTCGGCCTTAAAGTACAACTTGAAGTAGTTATTACTAACTGCAGTTTCTTGTCTCCCTGAATGATTGACTATCCTTTATAGATACCAAACTCAAGCTCAAGCCAAAAATTCATCACTTTACTATCACAACCTGACACTTGTGCCATTATGCTTTTGCTTCCAATATAAAGTCACAGAACTGAATGTCACTTCGGGTATCTTTAACTCAAGAGATCACAAGCTGCCTTTTATTTTGCAACTAGAGTCTGTAAATATTAGAAACATGTAAATACTTAATAACACATTTACACAAAATGGACTACTACTTATGAGAGATTACATGCCCACTCTACATAACTATCTTTAAAAGAAAAATACAGATAATAAGAATAGATGCATCTTGATATATTACACACCCTTGTTTTACAAAGCAATCAACAGTAAAGGTCAGGGTTCAGGGCAGGCCAGAACTACCTAAAGTGAAGAGGGTAAGCCAGTTTCACAGGTACATTGTACATCTCAAGGGACATCAACACTACTCCACAGTACAACACTGAAGAGATAAGAGAATGGTCACTTGTACAGTTTCCTTTTGAAAACTTCTTCTATATTCTGCTATAAGGAGCATCTTATAATCAGGAAGAAGGTATGGATAACCCACGCCAAAAGCCTTCCTAAAAGACACAGGGCGGAAGGCAACACCCAAAGGTGATTTGTGTGCATCTACAGGTGCCCCTGTCACTGCTCACTGGGATTGCAAAAGCAGGCCAGTGAGACATGAGTCACCAAGCAGACTCTCTCCTGACCCACTCTTCTCTTAGGCCTGCTGAGGGGGGAGAAGAGGGAGAAGGTGAGGATTGGAAACAAGAAGAGGGGAAGACCCAGTAGTTCACTGCTAGTTCTGGAGATGTTAGCGTTCTTCCGAGCAGTGGCCTTTTCTCAAGCTCACATCATCCAATCCAATCTCCCCAGTGTGACCACGCCTTTTTTCACCTTTGAAGATGACCTAGGGAAAGAATGCACACACCAGTCAAGCCTCCTCTGCCCCTTTCCAGCGCCCACTCTTTAGCAAAAACAAAGGCAAACCTTCCCCCAAACTCAACTTGGAACTTATTCAGCAGGAGGAAAGAAGAAAACAGGGGTGCCAGTGTCACTAGAGGCTTGTCTTTTAGAAGAAACTTTAGGCATCAGGCAAATTGTTTATCAGAGCAAACGGCCCAGAATCAGTTACTCTTTAAAAAGCCATTCTAAACTGTAGACTATTGGAATTTTATGGATGCATGTAAAGTATGCTCCTTGTCAGAGGTAATCAAGATGGGAAGAATGTGATGGGATATAAAGGTCAGAAAATGAGAGCCAAGTCTCAGAAAGATCATAATCATGCAGCCTATATTAAGTGTTTCTGAGTTTCTCCTTTTCGGCCATGTAGTTCACTGCCAAAAATCAAATACAAAAATCAAATCACACTATTTGGCTTTCACTATTCTTGTATTATACCTTCTGTAGAAAACTCTTACTTTTTCAAAAACAGAATCAAACTCCCCGATTTTGAGAAATAATTTATAATACCATATCATTTTTCCAGAGAATTGTGAATATTAAGAAAAATTTTAAGGAAAAAAATTGAACGGTAAAAGTACTCTGATGACAGCTATGTTAATGAAGTCTCTTTTCTTAAATAGCTTCTGGAAACTACACAGATGGACATGGATACAGAATCTCCTAAGAGATAAAATCTTATAGCCATCAATGGAAAGACTGTTTTCCCAAATACATTCATTAAGTTTAATGCAGATTACTTCCTTGCTACCTATGACTTGATTACCTACGACAAAATTTATATATTCAGCCAGTCTTTTCCACATCCTGTCTTAAACGGCACTTTCTAATTACAGTCGGGGTTGCCACTCTAGGCTGCTTAGCTGTGATCTCTGAGGCAAAGGGGGAAAAAACGGAATTTAAAGAAATCAGCTCCATAGCAATATATGATGGAAAGAGCTTGAAGCAAAAGGGAAAGCAAGGAGAGTTAGGCTCCCCACCCCTACCCTTTGAAGTTTCCATGAATTTTGTCTTTACTTTTCTAGTCCCATTTTTTTTGTTGTTTGTTATTGATTAAAAATGGGTCTTGGGCAGGGCTGGGCCTGTGGTGTGGGCACAGGTTGCAACGAAGAAGGAAGCAGAAGCAGCAGCACAATGGGGTTATGGAAAGGGGCAATGAACAGAGCTAGCATGCCCAGAATGGCACAGAGCTTTGCCTGGGCCTGAATTCATAGAGCCAGCCTCTTTGAATTCAGATCTCAGAGTTCTCCTATGAAAGGAAAACCTCCCAGATGCTGCCTCCTTCGTGGGTCTACTTACGCTCTTGACGTCAGCCCCTCGCAAGGTGATCTCTGTTTGCCTCCAGCCATGGCCACCATTTCTTCCCCACAGGGCTGCTCCGTGGACCCCATGTTTTCTCACAAACACCTGGAGTGTGCCTGCGTGCAGCCCCGTCACCTTGTGCCTGAAGGACAGGCACAGGTCCCCTGAATGCATGAGGTGGCCGAGAGGTAGCACCAAGCGAGCGGCTTTTCCCCCTGGGGCTTTGGCTGCCGAGACTGTCAGATACTGTCCACCTGCAATGGCAAAAGCAGGGCCGTGTGTGTGTGGGCGACGAGACCCCTGGCGGGCACAAACAGCATGAGCACAAGCTTTCCTGCTTTAACAAACTTGAGACTGTGAGGGCCTCTGCAAAGAATTCCAGTCTTTGGATGGAGGAAAACATGACTTTTTTTTTATGCCTGTCTTAAATTCTCTGACACGCGTTGACAGAGAACACTTTGCTCCTGAAGAGTACAAGTTGTGCTGAGGATAAACAAATTAGCCTTCTGAGCACCATGAATATTCCCAATGCAAAGTGATGAGACAAACGTGAGTATCCACCAACACACACATACAGCTTCATGCTTATCTGACCCTGCCAAGCCAGCTGGGAGGCTGGCAGAACTGACCCTACGTTGCCACAGAGCGTTTCCTATGTGGACTTCTGGACATGGTGATTTAAAGGACATTTATTCTCTCCTTTATTTTTAAATCACTAAATACGGAAAGATCTTAAAGCAAAGCAAAACAGAAAAAAAAAAAAAAGAAAGAAAAAACAGGGATTGGTGCCATGAGCAGTAGGTTAAGCCTCTGCCTGCTCTATCAACATTTCACATGGATGCTGGTTTGAGTTCTGGTTACACGTGGTGCTCTATCTCCCTGCTGATTTGCCTGTGAAAATAGTAGAAGATGGGATTCATGGGAGACCCAGAAGGATCTCCCAGCTCCCAGCTCCAGATTAGCCCAGCTCTGACTATTGTTTTCATTTAGGGAGTGAACCAGCGGGTGGAAGATTTCCCTCTTTCTTTCCACCTTTCCAATAAAATGCATACATCTTAAAAAGAAAAACAGAGATGGCCATGCCTCTTATACTGGCATATACTTCAGCCCAGTCGGCTGCAGAGCGGTCCTGGAAACCCCTTTCATCTTCTAGGAGTATCAATTTCCTTTGGAGGTTAACTCTGTAAAAAGATCTTTTATGTTGTAACAAATCCATACTGTTATTTAGGCACATACTGCCTTCTATATTCATGCACACAAAATGTTCATTAAAACTTCCACTCTGGCCAGATGACTTTGGCGATGTCCTCAGACTCCTGGGGCTACGGAATGTGCATCCCTTCGTTGTCAGGGAAACTGCAGCTTTAAATCAAAGTAGAAGCAGCAGTGAGCTGTAAGAGATGTTTTGGAAACTCAATCTGCGCACAAATGACATTCCTCTCTGGCGGTTCCATGTCAGCCAGCTGAGAAACACATGATGCTGCGACACTGCTCTGTCCACAGGAAACATGAGGTTGCAATGCTGAACACATGGCTCTGAGTAGGAACGCCATTTCCTTCTCAGTTAAAAAATCATGCAACACCTAAGACTGCAATGTCGCCTTCACTCCCAGTGGAGATCTAGGGATTGCTTATGATGGGCTAGGAACTGTGTCAGGTGCACCCAGAGGCTGTGGGACCATCTCACATCAGAAGCTTCCTTTCTCCCAAACCTCCTCTGCATACTCCTAGAGGATTGGGTGATAAAAGCTGGTCTTTGAGTTAATAAATGATATTCCAAAAAAACCCAGCAAAACTCCTTCAGGGAAATAGGTGCTGGACTCAAGTGCTTCCATTCCTAAAACGGAACATATTATTATTATTTTTTTTTTACTTCTTCTCACCAGTGCATGTCTTCCTCCCACAAATTAGTGCAGATACTGTTTGGGTCTAAAACACTTACATGGATTTTAAATGTCTGTGTATCAGTTAGATTTTGAAGCATCACAGTTGTTCTGATAAAGACTATGAGGTTATCACAGTTCATCTGCCAGCTGACCTTCAGTCTCTATGGAATGCAGCCCCATGGCATTCCGTGTGACTGCCTGAACAAACCAGGGCTCCTGGTCACAGATTCAAAACAACCTTTTTCTATATGTATTTAAAACCCCCTCATTTTAAACATGATAAATAAGGTTACAGTTATGTTTTCCCTACAGAGGTGCCCTGAGGGAGCCAAGTTTTGGAGTTTGATTTTTTGTTGTTGTTTTGTTTCAATTTGAGAGACAGAACTCCTTTTCCCTAGTGTTCACCCGCCTATGACAGCTGGGGTTCAACCAGGACGCATGTCAAAGGGGTTCTTACAAGTGAATTACTTGAGTCGTTACCACTGGCTCTCAGGGTCTGCCCCGGCAGGAAGTCGGAGTCAGATGGAGTCAGGAACCGCCCCAGGTTCTGTGATATGAGATGTGGGCATATTAAGCAGGAAACTCTGCTTTTGTTTCTTCCATGAAGAAATTTTTCTTTGTAAGTAAATGTTATAAATTCAGAACAGAAACAAGGAAAAATCGATTCTACCTCCCAGGAAGGTTTCCTATTAAACAGAAATTTCACTTCAGATTCCAAAACATTGGATTAAATCCAAACTATTTTCAAGTTTTTAATTCAGTTTAAAGCATCACATCCAAAGTACTTGTGATGTGGGAAAAATAAATAAGAGATACTGAAGGACTTGTATAGAAAGTTACATGGCACAATTTTAATTTACTCATTTATTTTTAAATTTCAACGATAGAGTCACACAGAGAGAAGCATAAAGGTTTAAATAAATCATAATCCCATACCCACAGACATTTTAGACTTTTGAACTTTTCAAATATAGGCAAATATGAACATTCAAAAATGAATGCAAATTTGCAGCATGGTAGGGAGTGGGGCCGCATGTGTTCCAGTCGTTTAAGCTGGCACCTATAATGCCTGCATCCCACACAAGCACTACTTTGTGACCCGGCTGCTCCACTTCAAATATGGCTCTCTGCTAATGGCCTTGGGCCCCTGCTGCCCATGTGGGACATCTGGGTGGAGCTCCTCCTCCTGGCTTCCCACCAGCCCAGCTCTGCGTGTTGTAGCCATTTGGCACATGAACCAGGAGATGGAAAATAGCTCTGTCTTCCTCAACCTCTCTTTATGGAACTCTGACTTGGAAATAAACAAATCAGTCTTTCAATTGGCAATGTTGCTATATCAGCCATTTTATGTCAGGAAATATTGATATGCCATATCTGTAGGATTGTCATTAATCATTTCTATTGGAAAGCACTTAAGTTTCCAAATTTTCACTTTTTTAAGATATAAAATATTTAAACATTTGAAACACGTGAAAAATGAAACATTTTCCTTATTTACATAAGTAACTTTTCAATATTAAAAAAGAAAAAGAAAAGCCATCACAAAGAATAAGTGCTTTTTAAGAACATGAAAACCTTGCAAAATGTTGATTTTACAATTAAAGATGCAAATTAAAATTAAGTTGTTTTACCCTTTATCTATATGTCTGGCAAAGATAAAAAAAAAGTTTTTATAATAACTGTGCTGGAGATGGTTCTTAAATATCATTGACAGGAGTATAACTGATATAAGCCTTACAGATGACTACGCAGTAAAATCTAGCTAAATTCTAAATGCAAATCTCTAGGAATTTATTCCACCAACATGATAGGTTTAAACAAGTATAAATCAAAAATGCAGGCTTATCCACTGCAGCATACTCTGAACCACAAACAGGCTGGCATACGCCCCATGAGGGCTGCTTGCATACGTGTGGAATGTCTGGTGACTCAAAGGAACAGTCATCAAGACAGATGAGCGTGCTGTGTACGGGCTGATGCGGCACAATTGTCAACCACATGGCTAGCAGCACTTGAGCAGTAACTCCACACCGGGTACTCCTGACATGCTTTAATGATGTTCAGGAGTCCTTATTAATCATGTCCATTTCAGTGATGCTTCTAGCTCAGAGCTAATAAGTGATGGTCTGGGTTTCAGCCTAGCCATTCTGGCTTCCAAGTCCATGTTCTTGTTAACTGTTAAGATAATATTGTAAAGTGACAGAAGCAAAATACAGAGAGGGATGCTACTCTGTGCGAAAACACCTCTCTGGAAAGATAACTAAGAGGCTGTAGCTGGGGAAGGCAGAGATAACAATTTAGGGGCATTTCAAAATAATGTTTTCTAAAGCTAGGGTCGCCATGTTTGTATGCACATACTAGCATACTTAGGAGTATTTTGGGAAATTCCCCGTAGCTATGGGTGGAGGGCAGGGTGCTGAGTCAGCTGCCTTTAATGCTTGTTCTCTGGAGTTGGCAGTTCCAGGAGAGGACCCGGGGCTAGCTTTACAGCTACGTGAGAGGAGGGTGTGTCCTCAGGTACATAGCTACAAACCTGCAGTACAGCATGTCTGTCAGCAGTGCAGTTTCTCACTTATTAGAGGAATGTATTAATCTCACATTTCATGGTTAGGTTCAAGGTGCATGTGATAACTAGAACCTAGCAGCACCAACAAGAGCAAGTTTGCAAATGCACATATTTTGCAGCTGTTTCTCAAAGAGTTCATTTAATCGAGGGATCCTTAGAAATTGTATGAGTGTATGAAAACATTGGCCAGTCTTGAGCATAGATTAGAACTGCACACCATTAAAAGTCATAACTACAAATCTAAACATATGTCCTTGTACAAACTGCTTTATCCACACAAAAACAAATAAGCAATTTGGCAATTAGAATAGGCAGAAATTACCTATGTAATTGCTTATATTCTGTTATTTCCATGTGATACACCTCTCTCTCTCTCTCTCTCTCTCTCTCTCTCTCTCTCTCTCTCTCTCTCCTATGCCTGGACTTCCTAAAATAAAAAAAAAATGGCATGGCAAGGGAATTTTTATCAGTTTTTTTTTCCCATAGAGGTATGACTAGAATTCCCTGGCATATTCTGCAGTTTTATATGCCATGCTGTGCACACCTGCCCCTTTATGCCAGTTCTTTGACATCTGCTCTTTCCACCCTGCTTTTTAAGCTAGAAGCCCACTCACCGATATGGGACATTTCATTTTGAACCAGAGGTTCTCATAGCTAGATTGAGATGTTTTCAAATCCAACATTTACCTGCTATGCAAAAAAACCCTTCAACACCTCACCACATCACCCAGTCAGAGCCCCTCCACCTCAGAGAAGTCATTACTTCCGTATCAGCCTATTCACAGTTCAGATGGCTCTGTGTATTGCAAAGCTCATTCTCAGAGCAACCAACATCAAGCAGCCCTGCTCCACTGGATCTTCTCCAGGCCAAGCACTAAGGTTTCCTGGCTTGTTTCCATTGGCTTTGAGATACCTGTCCTTCTGATCATTCTCTTCTGAGTAACACACAGCTAACTAACTCTCATTTTCAGACCAGAAAGAACCCCAAGTAGATTAATCACTGAACCAAAATGAATTTCCCACTTTGGAAAAATACCCGATTTCTTGGAGATGACACATCTTTGGGTAGTAACATCATTCACACTGATTCTATTATCCACTAACATTCTAGAGTCCTTCACACAGGGTGCTTAGTCACAGCTTCCCCTAACTCCCGGCTGTGGAGCTGGTTTCTAAACCACAAGCCACACTTTATATTCATCCCTAGCCTAGTCTTTCAGATGCTGGTCATGCTGGCACAGAAATCAACGACAGTTAGGTCAATGTGTCTTCAATATCTAATCAAGATCAAATTTACTCAGTTTATGCAGAAAGCTTAAGCCCATACCAGAAAAGCACCCTCCAGAGACCACAGGCCATCATCAGGAATAATCCCATCATCCAGGCAGCATTCACTTCCTTTCCAATTGTTCTGAACTAACACTGTCCAATGACCATTCCAAACGTTTCATTTTTTCCTTTTTTTCCCTTGCCATTCAAATTTCCAACCTTGTTCCAGTATTCCACCAAAAGATAAGAGGAATTTTGGTCAAAAAGATTTAGTAATTTACAAACACGATAAATCATAAAATTTTTTTTTGCTGAAAAAGTCCTGAACTATTCTATAGTGTAGTATTTAAATTCAAAAATCAAATGTTACCCAAGCCATCTGCATAGAAGCGCAACAGTTATCTGCACTGAGCTTGAATTTGCTTTCAAAAAGTTATTCATTATGACTCTAAATGTTACTCACCAATCTATCACACATGATGCCACACATGCCCCCTTCTGTAGAATATCTGCACCAGGTCAGAAGGCAGTCAGAATTATAGGCTTGGAGTCTGCTAGTCACTGCATGTACACTCCCACAAGCCCTGCTACTGAGGCCAGGGATTGTGGGACAGCAACAAATTCAGAACAAAATTACAGATGTCTGGCTATCAAATTACCTAGGAAGCTGCACAGATGGTACAAAGGGACCTGGACATAAAGTCAGAGGTCCTGGATTCAACACCAAACTCTACCACCATCTAGCTCTGTAGCTTTAGGCAACTTACATAATCTCTCTGGGTACCCACAGTTCCTTTGTGAAATAAAAACAGTATTACCCACTCAAAGGATAAACTAAAGAGTTAAGTCAATTAATGAGATGATGAATGGCCGTAGTAGTTACTGAATCCATGCCTTTTCTTCTCTTATTCACAGACAGTTGTGACATTCATAGCATTGTCCTGCTCAGAATTAACCTTAAATGGTTGAGAGAATAATTCTAGGACAATAGTTGGTATCCTATATCTAGGGTGTTAAATGATATTTTCCCATCAAACTAAATGAAACTGAAAAACTCAAAATAAACTTGAAGCTATGAAATATTCATACTTCTAAACCTTATCTAAAATTTTAATTATAAATATTACATTACAATCTTAGAAGATCTTGAAAGGGAAGATTTAGAATAGAGAAATTTAACTTGCTTCTTTGCCTTCTGTACTTTACTTGTCTTACTTGCTGAGAATAGCTGAATAGGATGTCTTTGGTAAATGATTAGGTTCAATTGGGATTCAGGATACAAAATTCAACAGTGGCCCTGAGATAAGTATCTCAGCAGGAATCAAGGTAAAATAGTGAAGAGCCGAAAAGTCCCTGACTTCTTGGAGGAGGCTCCAAAGGTCTGAGAAAAGTAAACTTGGTCTGAGAAAAGCAAACTCAAGGAAAATTGTGACAAAGAACTAAAAGAAACAGCAGTCTTATGATGTAATGGTCAGGAAAAACAGCCCCTAACTTTATTGTTTTATGATTCTATTTGTACCTATTAGTAAGCTATTTGTCAAAATGCTGTGTAAGTGATTTTGGCCTGCAAAAGACAGGTGATGTAGCGACTTGGTACGGATGTGCCACCCTCCTGCGTGAGGAACTGGCCTCCGTCCCAGCGCGCTGGCATCTGAATAAATCCTCCTGCTTTTGCATGAAGCCTTGTCTTCGTTGATTATTGGGGAGACTCACTTTCTCGAGAGTCGGTAAGGCTGTCCTCACTTCGCGCAGCCTTACAATCTCACAAATGCTATTTTTGGACAAATTCTCTAGTAATGTGGTGCTGAAAACATACACTGTGGACCAGCAGTGTGAGTACCTGCAGGGGCCCTGTTAGAAACACGAAATATCTGCACTGTGACAAGGTCCTAGCTGATCTGTGTACACAGTAAAGTTTGAGAAAATTGGATTAACAGACATAACTTCAAGCTACCTCGTATATTTTGTGCTTTATCTGTACATTAAGATACAGTATTTAATAAGTAAGCTTTTGAAATAAATGAAGCAACATGCTTCTTCACCTCTTGTTCTCATTCCAATACTCTAATATCAAGAATATAAAAAACAGAGAAACCAAACTCATTGTTCCATTATATTTGCCTCAGTCATGAAAGATGTGATGATTGGGGGTGGGGGGGACAAATACGTAAGTTTATTTCCTGAATCTAGAAGACAAAACAGCTTGAAAGCATTTAAACTTGAGATCAATAGGAATCATGCAATTTACAAATGATTCCCAAGGAACTATGTCTAAATCCAACTTTCCAGTATCCTTTTACAAAATAAATGGTAATACCACTATTTTTGCCAGTATCCAATTTACAAGGATTTTTTTGGTTTTTTTTTGGACAGATGATCATAACTTTGCAGAAAATTCATCAGGGATTATTAGCATGGCTCGATGTAACTACCAGATCATTTTCTTCATTCGGGAGAATAACTTGAAAAGTCTATACTAGAATGAGTTTGTTTCATTTTTCAAGCTTTTGAGAGAAATTAGTAGTTAAAACTACTTGTCTCCTATTGTGCAATATTAGTTGAGACCTGACACATTTAGCTCACTTGAAGAAAGCGAAATATAAGTAAATATTGGGTATGCTCTTTTTGTTCCCTTTCTTCCTTAAATAACCCAGAGACATTCTATAGTGGACTTGATTAGCAGAGCTTGCTCTGCAGCAGTACTGACCTCAAATGTGACTAGAAAGAGTCAAGATGAAATTTTACCTGCAGGATCCCTGACGGGTTCCCAGTGCAAGTCATTTTCCTTTTCCCTGATCCATCCACAAAGTCCATGGTCAAAATTACAACTGTGTATTAGAACACCTACAAGGCAAATGATAAGAAAGACGAGAAGGTCACAAAGCCAACAAACACACGTTTGCAAATCTATAAACCAGGAGCACCCCTACAAGTGTCCCCTCCAGCATCTGCAACTGAATTACCCCACTAGAACTTTTCTCCACGAGATCAAAAGGAAATTACATGAATCCTTTCTCAGCACAGTTGGGCCTGGGCACTCAGCTGTAACAATAGAACACACACGTGTTGCCAACTGATGACCTTGCTGTGTTGTCACTTGTGAAATATGATTTCCTTCTCTCAATTTCAATACCCTTTTGAATGCGTTTTTAAAAAGAACGCGATGGTTCTCAACTATTTCAGCTCAACGGATTTAACCACAGTAGAAACTGAGTTAATACAAGTAGACTTCTCCCAAATGACAACAAATAATGTACAAATTACTACTCGAAAATGAAGGGAAATAATCATGTCATCTTAACAGGACAAAGAGGACAGATGTCTACCTGGATCGTCCTTTGCTTCATCGTCTGCACTGATTCCTCTTTCTATTTCAAATGTTTCAAACAAATCATTTGAAGGCTGCCGTGGAACTGGAAGAGAGATTTTTAACTTATTAGTTTGTGACATAGTGATAAAGAAGCATTCCTCAAACACTGGGAAGGGGGAAAGATCGAGGCATTTCACTCCTCCCTAAGAATGAAAATGCTTCATTGTATTTCACACAAAAAATTCATGTTGCTCTGCAGTGATTTATATTGTAACAGAGATCTCAGCAGCATTTAGCAATATCTTTAAAAACTGATAAAATTTAATATAAAAATAACATAAAAATTATCCAGAAAGAACACATTATAAAAGAACTTCCAGGTTCTAGGAAAATATTCATTTCTACAAAATGTACAGTTCATCTCTAGGAAAGATGCATTACTATGAACTTTAGTGCAAGTCCTGCAACTGTGGGGTATGGTTTTGCTTAGTAACCACAGCATCTATTCAGCTTTCTAATAGGAATAAATAATGCTTCCCATGGCCACCTTCACTTCAGCAGGTGCCCTGGCTTCACTGAAATTAAAACCCAATTTTTTGGTACAACATCTATAATCCATTCACCAAGATACTGTCCAAACATGTCAAAGCTCTCCAGCTAATTAACCTGCTAAACTTCCCCTCTGCCTTCCAGGCTAAGCAGAAATACCACTGCCTCCCAGAAAACTTTTACACCCCAGGCAATTAACATCTTTCCTCTGTATTCCAACAGTCCATGCTTACACACTTTCCTGAAGAAGTGCAGTTATTTACACACGCATGTGCTTGCCCCTGTTAGTCTCCGTGGTCCTGGAAGGCATCAATCACATCTTATACAGGGCTGTTTCCAGGACTTGACCTGGTGACAGGTACTTGAAAAGTGTTGACTGAGTAAATACAAAGACCCCAAAGTACTCATGTACTTTGTCAACACTTTTTTTTTTCAAATGACACAACTAGGACTCAGTTCAAAACACCCACTTCAAAAATAATCAATTTATTTAAATAATTTATTTATTCCTTCAATGCCTACTTGCCAACCGAATCTAGCACTGTTAAAAGCACTGAAGAGAAAGGGCGAACAGGGGTACCCAGAACAACACAGAACAGAGTCTTACAGGATTTGAATTCTAATAGGAGAAGCAGACACTAAAGATGGAGATAAATGAGCCTAGTCATTCTAAGTTTTGATGAGGGCCTGGAAGGAGAAGTGCCAGAAGCTGTCATGAAGAGTAACTGAGTTAGACTGTGGGGGTAGTGGTGAGGGGAATTCTTGGCCACAAGCCAAGGAATACTCCTTTATCTTTGTAAGAATGTCCATTAATTAGCTCTATTTTTGTAAGGCAGGGAGTGAAACTTGCAGAATACCATGGAACAGACATCATTCAAAAGGGATCATTTTACAATGATGTTCTTGTTGTTTTTAGCAAAAATTCTAAATTTAGTCAATATCCATTTGTTTTAAAAATGAATTTATCTATGATACAGTTCAAAAGGCTCTAGGATTTCCCATTCCCATCCCAATCTCTTCCCCTACTGATCTCCCCTTTTTTATCATAATAAATATAATCCTTCAAGAACAATCATAAGTCTATCATTGTTATTAAAGTGTATCCTGACATTGCAGGTATAGACAGTCCAGCATCTTATTGTCAAGATATATTTTATAGTTTCATTTGGAGTTCATCTTTAATTTGGAAGTAGAGATGCATACTGCATTGTATCTTCACATCTTCATATGATAGTCTCCTATACAGTTCTTCTATAAAGCTATTTATACATGCATATTTACCTACATATCTTTTTATCTTTTATTTTTGCATGAAGGTTGCCTTATATCAGAGAGAACATAAGATATGTTCTGAATTGGCTTATTTCACTGACCATAATGGTCTCTAGTTAGGACCATTTATGTGCAAATGATAGAATTTCATTTTTTTTTTTTATGACTGAGTAGTAGTCCATAGAGTAGATGTACCACAGTTTTGTTAACCACTCCTCTTTCAACGGGCATCTTGGTTGTTTCCATGTCTTTGCTATTGTAGATTGTACTGCTGTGAATATAGGATTACAGAGTCTTTTCTCATATGCAGATCTCATTTCCTTTGGATATATTCCCAAAAGTGGGATAGATGGGTCACACAGTGGATCAATTTTCAGTTCTCTTAGCACTCTCCACACTGACTTCCATGGTGTTTATATTAGCCTACACTCCCACCAACAGTGAAGGACGGTATTTTCCTCCCAGCATTAAAGTAAATGGGAAAGACTGGAAGACAGAAAAAACTAGAATAGTAGACTGACAACATGAGGGGTATAACCTGATTTGCAACCTCACCCAATCACAGCCTTCCTTTGCTTGTCTGAGGCTCTGAGAAGGGGATGCCTCTACTCTCCACAGGAAATGGGGCAAAACTGTAGACAAGCACATTTCAATTCTCATGACAGCGAGCTATAAAAATTCTACTGGACAAGTATACTTATGTTTCCTTCTCTTGTTGTAACCTAAGTTATCTGTGAAAAGGGGAGCTCAACTTTTCCAGAATCATTTTCCAGGGATGGTAGGACAGTTTGGTAAGCTCTCCATTTTCACACAATGAAAGACTTTCAAATGAAAAACAGTGTCTCAAGGCAAACAGCAGCAGAGGCGGGGGTAGGACTAGGAGACTCCTGTTTATACATAAAGTGCAAAGAGATTCTCTTTGGGGAAGTGACACAAACTGAGAGACAGGGCAGCCATTTGGCGCAGTGATTAGGACACTGGCAACCTACATCAGCTCCCGATTCCAGCCTCCTGCTAATACTCACCCTGGGAGGCAGTAGATGATGGCTGAAGTACTTGGGTCCTTGCCCCCAACATGGAAGGGCTGGATTGAGTCCTAGCCTCCAGGAATGGGCCTGGTCTAACCCTAGGTACTTGGGCAATGTATCAGCAGGTGAAATATACTCTCTCACTCTCTCTCCCTCATTCTTTCCCTTCCCCTCTCTCTTTCAAATTGAAAACAAAGCAAATAAAATAGGGGCCAGTACGATAGTCTAGTGGCTAAAATCCTCATCTTGCATGCACCAGGATCTCATATGCATGCCAGTTTGAGATGGCCTGCTTCCCATCCAGCTCCCTGCTTGTGGCCTGGGAAAGCAGTAGATAATGGGCCAAAGCCCTGATACCCTGAACTCTTATAGGAGACCAGAAGTTCCTGGCTCCTTGCTTTGGATCAGCTCAGCTCTGGCCATTGTAGCCACTTGGGAGAGAATCACTGGATGGAAGATCTTCTTCTCTGTTTCTCCTCCTCTCTGTATATTTGCCTTTCCAATAAAAATAAATAAATCTTTAAAAAAAACAGATGAGAATGACTTCAGGCAGCAGTTACAAAGAAAGGGCTTGGAGTATTAAGGGAAATAAATTGCAGATGGCTAGAAGACAGTCAGAAATGGAGAAAGCAGCCCGAGATGAGGTTTAAGAGAAAGTAAGAAATGAGAATACACATTTTTGAAAGAATTAGTGAGTTAATCACCTGCAAAACATCAGAGGTTCATTAGCATATTAAGCATTTGGCTATAGGAATCATTTAGTTTAACACTGGATGATCATATACACCTTCATTTAAGAAATGCAGTGAAACACATTTCCAAGAAATGCGGTGACATGAAATGTTCAGGTGCTATCTATCAGGTCTTACAATTTTGTGGGGTCTGTGCTGTAACACTTCACGGTCACATAACAACTTCTCCTTCTTCACACCAGGAATTAAGAGCATCCCACTGAAGTGGCAAAAGTAGATACACTACCCACTCCTTGCAGTATTTCAGTTTATATAAAAATATTAAGTGAAGTAAATCATGGGGGAAAGAACATTTAAGTAATATTAACTTATCATCTCAAGATAAACAGAAGTAGACTTGAAAAAAAAGTGATGGGGCTAACTCTATGGCATAGGGGTTAAACCAATACCTACAATGCCAGCATGAGACGCCAGTTCATGTCCCTGCTGCTTTATTTCCAACAGGCCCAAAGAATCAATGTAAAGGAAGAAAGGATGGCTTACTTCTGATATTCATCTGATTCTACATGTGAGTTTTGCATCTACACAAATTCATCTTTAAAAAGGCTTTTTGTCCCCCGAGCTGTAGGCAACTACCCAGGTTGCCTTGTACGTTACACTGCAAGGCTATCAGTAGCTGGCAGGCATTCGGGGCATGATTAATGCCAAATTTGTATTCACTATAACAGTGTGTCAGCATAGTTACCTGCTTTTTTTTTTTTCAATATCTGTGGGGAAAGCAGGGAACACTGGGCTGGGACATACACTCAAGCCCTGGAGTGGGGATAGCAGACGGGGCAGTCTGGAGAGAAGTCAAAAAAATATTTTCTAGGGAGGAGATGATTTCTGGGGTCTTACAGGGTACTGGGCCACTGCAATTGCAGGCAGGGGAGCAAGCTGAGATGGCATGGTTTACAGGGTAGAACCCAGAGGGCATCTATGGGTCAGGCCAAGGCACCCACCCACAAGGTAGACTTGGGCTGAGCTAAACAGCATCAACCACTGCACACTGCTGCACACAAAAGCTGCTGTTGGGGGCAATGACTGGCTGGGCTAGGACTCAGTACTCATCCACAAGTGTCAGAGCAGAGGATGGTCCATGTTGGACTGGGCAGCAGTACCCACCAGAATGCAAGAGAACTGGATCTGGGGATATATCCTGTAGTGGAACTGTAGTACCACAGCTCCCACTAGTATGTGTGGAGAGCTTGGGGTAGCGAAGGGTTGAACCAAGCTGAACCACACTACTGACCCGACACTCATGGAAGCCAGGGCAGGGAGGATGTAGAACAGCCAGGCTGCAGGACCCACAGGCACACACAAAAGCCAGAACTAAAGGCAGATCACGCCACACAGCGCCACAGTACCCCCTCCTCTCTACCCAGCATGCATAAGATCCTGAGCTGAGAATAGGCCCAATCGGCAAACTTAGAGAACTTCTCTGGTAGGCACAATAGCCAGACCTGCGGATGGACCAACCAGGCAAGGCTACATCTTTCAGCAGTATTTGTATGGGCCAGGTCTGGAGGCAGGTTGGGTTGAGCCAGGCTGCAGGACCTGCTTGCACACATGAGAGCAAGCACAGGTTGTGGGCTGTGCCCAGCTGAGTAAGGCTACTCCACCCACCAGCAACAGCTAAGACTGAGGGTAGGCCATTGCAGACTGTTTGACATGTCCAAGATTCAGAGAATGGATCTGGTAGTAGCACTTTGACAACTCTCCCACCAGGAATTGCAAGAGCTGAGGTTGGGAACAACCTGGGCTGGGAAAGGCTGCAGCACCTGTCTGCATATGTTCAAGCTGATTTATGGGCAGGCCAGACTGGGCTAGGCTCCATTACCACTGGCACTCACAATGGGTCAGAATGGGTGTTAGATGGGTGGGCCATGCTAGGCTGCAGTACCTGCCAGTTCAAATAAGAACCAGATCTGGGGGTAGGCCAGGCTGGGCTAGGCTAGGCTGTAGTATTTACCAACAGGAGCCAAAATGGGTACGGCCAGTTGGGTTAGGCCACAGTACCCACTGGTAAGTGCCAAATCTAGGGGCCCAAGTCTAGGGGTCGGCCATGTCAGTATGAGCAGCAGCACCCTCTGGCACATGTGAGATCTGGGGCTGGAACGAGCCTGGTAAAAGAACTTGGGGAACTTCCATGCTAGTCTATAGTTCCCAAAGTAGGGACAGACTCGGCTGCAGCACTTGTCAGCATATGTGTGTGAGTTGGGTTTGGTAGTGGGTTGGTCTAGGCCAGTCCACAGCACACACTGGCATGAACAAGAGCCAAGAAAGGTATAGGCCAGACCTCCAGTTCACATGTGGGGTGGGCCAGGCTGGGCCAGACTGTTGTGTCCACCAGCAAGAGCTGTGACTAGAGGTAGGCTGGGCTGAGTCAAGCTATAGCAACTGCTGGTGAGTGTGGAGCCTGGGGGCGGGCCATCTCAGACTGGGCAGCATACTCATTGGCAAACTCAAGACCTAGTGCTAGGAGTGGGTCCGTTAAGGCTGGGGAGTTCCCCAAATAAGCCACAACACCTGCTAGAGTGCATGAAGACCAGGCCTGTGGAGGGCTGGTCTGGCCTAGGTTGGCCACAGTACCCATTAATTTGTGTGAGAGATGGTGGCTAATGGCAGAACTGACCAGGCAGTTGTATCAACTGGTACATGTGTTACCTGCTACAGGTGGCAGACTAAACCTGAACCTGTACTGACTGATGCAAACAACAGCCAAGTCTGAGGATGCCCAAGTGAGGTTATTTGGGGGACTCCCCAGTTAGACCTCTAGATTCAAACTCCATCCACAGTGAAAATTACAATATATGTGGTCCAACCTTGGAGTGCATTTATTGGCACTTGGCCTCCTCAGGTGTGATACCTGTGCTATGGAGAGCAAGCCCAGATGCACACTGGGGACATGACAATCAGCTCATCTAGGCCAGCAGAGAACATTGATGGAAAGCACACTCTTCTGGCCAAGCTTTGCAACGTGTTCCTGGGCCTGGGGATGCATTTAGGTAGGCTTTGTCAGACAACAGACACTGGAAAGATTTTCTCAACCCTGGTGCCACAAAGCCAATGATATAACTATCAAGACCACTCAAGTAACACCCTCAAAATACTCTTCCTCTCCTCAGGGTCTCTGAGGCATCACCAAATGACTGTGTCCCATCCCTAGGTGTTGATGTAGTTTGATAGCCAGGAGTGGCCCTTCCAATTCCCTCCCTTTGGACACAGGAGATGAAAAAGAAAAAACAAATTGAAACATTTGTCCAACCCAACTTTCTCCATGTCTGGACCTTTCCCATCCTAATCAGAGACCTACATGGGCATGTATCCTTCTCAACTATGTAAACACTATTAAAAGTAAAAGTGAAAAAATAAACAAAAAGGTTTTTGTCATTTTCATAGCAAAGGAATGAGGGGATGTAGTCTCTATTTTAATTTCACAACTGTTTAAACCCCAAGTGAAATATGTCAATTATATGGTAATATACAGGGGATATTCACATTTAAGGTAACAAATTTCTATTTTCATTGTTTCTATTCACATTATGACTCACACTGGCAAATCGCATTTCAAAGAGATCTAGGTAGCAAAAAATGTTAAAATTATAACAAACCATAACAAAAATCATCTGGAAAAATATAAACTCAGAACTAGAACATAGTATCAAACTGCTTTTTGGTGAAATAAGTAGGAAATTCTATTATTACTATCTAAATTAACAGCAGCAGGAGCAGCAGTAATAGCCAGTAAGTTGTGTATTCTTACTTTGCAATAACTACTATGGTTACAAGTCTTAGACGCATCCCTCCTAACTGATTCTCACATCAGCTGAGTGAAGTAAATGGCACTGTTATCCTGACTTACAGAAGAGGACAGGAAGCAATGGAAAAGAGTTAATAACATGCCCCAAATCACCACACTTTTAATTATAACTCCCTGGACAAATATGCATGTCACTTAAAAATAAAATCTTACTTCTGATTTGGGTCATATTCAGCAAAATACAATTTATACTTCCCAGGGAAAACTATTTTCTTATTTGTTTTTTAGCAGCCAGTATGGGATCCAATTAAAATATAAATAAAAAACTTTGAAAACTTTCAGAATTCATAATACTGGATTCTGACCGGTAAGCAGCAATAATTCACTCCTTAAAAACACAAGCAGAAATGTAATTTCTGGGGAAGTAAGAGACGTTTCTCTGGGTCTCTGTGGGCCTGACTGCTTACTGGAGAACAAACTCGTTTGAAGACCTTCTCACCACCTCAGCAGAAACAATTCTTACTCATCACTACACAGAATCAGGAGACCACCCTATTTCCCCGGCTAAGAACAAGTTGAGACTAGCCAGAGAATCTGTAAAATGTGTAAAATGAAATGAGGGAAAGAGATTCAGGACAACAAGGAGCAGTGCAGAATCAGTACCAAGTACATTTCTTCTTGCTACCTGGTGCCCTGGGTTTGCAATGCTACCTCTCCTCCTGTACAAACAGGGCTGCCAGAAGGCGCCTTCTGGGACACACATTCACAGGAGCACCTCGCAGGTCTTAGTCACGTCATCTTCGACAAGCTTATAGGAGGGGGTGGACAAATGCCCAGATACAGTTCTATATTCTAGGCATCCAACCTCTGGCTAACTCAGTTTTCCCTCAGGATACATGCTTCTGCCAGGCTGCAGCTGCCATCATGGGGTAGAGAGCCCTGCTTCCAAAGTGTGGGCCACAGATTAGCAGCTTTCTCCAGGAGCTTGTCAGAACTGCAGAAACTTAGGTCCTACCCCAGACCTACTGAATCAGTCTTTTAACCAAATTCTCATGGGACTTGTATGCTCATTAAAGCAATAGCACTTTCCCCTAGAAAGTCTGACTTCATAAATGTGCTATAGGAACTAGGAGTCTACCCCTTAAATAAGCATTTTAGGTTATTCTGATACAGTCAGGCTTCTGAAAACACTTTGCAGGGGAAAAAACTTTGCTATCTGGTCTATGTGAGAACCATACTCTTTGTGGCAGTGTCAATTTTGTAGCCAAAACTGGATATACCCGACCCACTCAAATGGAAAGAAAACCTTAAAAGAATAAAAATAGAAGCCATTAAAACCTTCAGTGAATTTTTAATAACCAGTATGTCAAGGATAAAATAAAAATGATTAAAAGGTTGACATTGTGACACAAATTAAACCACCACTGGCTACACTGCCATTCCATATCTGAGAGCTGGTTGGAGTCTCAGCTGCTCTAGGCAGGAAAAGAAAAGCCCAAGTGTTTGGATGCCTGCAAACTACACTGCTGGGGTTTCCTGGCTCCTGGCTCTGGCCAGGCCCAGACTAAAATGTTGCAGCCATTTGAGGAATGAACTAAGAGAAGTTACTATTTCCTATAACAGTGGAAATAAAAAGTTTAAAACTCATTGCTCAGAGATAACAACAAAAATTAAAACCACCTAAAATACCTTCAACTGAAAATATCCATGGTTCCCCTTACAGTCTTTTTCCTATGCATTTTTATATAGAGACTTAGGCGGCCATGTATTTTATATCTAGTTGGAGTGGCGCACATAATTTTGTCTTCTTTCATTTAACATTTTTACACATGAATAATTTCCCATGTTACTAAAGATTTTTTCAAAAAACACCACTGTTAGAAGCTGAATATTTCCTTTATTATATTCCTAAACCGGGATGTAGTTTCCCCAACCTCCCTTTACTTTGGTTTCTACATAAATTTGTTATTGATATTGATATTTTCTTTACTCTGGAAGAATTCTGACCAACTCAGATTCCACATCTTGTCTTAGGTTCTTGGTCTCCCAACTTTTAAGCGATGCTTTGCACCACAACTCTGGTATCCATTTACTGCTTAAATCCGCTTTGTGTGTGCCCTGTACCTGTCTGTCCACTCAGTTCCCATCCATCTCACTAAGCTATGCTGGAATCCAAGCTCAACCCTTTTGTCTCAAGAAATATGCCATGAGAGCTAATTAGTGAGGGCAGTAGAGTTTTGTGGAGAGTGGTTTCTGTGCTTTTCAGTTCAGCAAAGCCTGACTTGAAATGGGCAGCACTGAACTCTAATCCCAGGAGTTAAATAATCCCATGGTTAAATCCACTTGTGAACATGTTGCTCATATCTACCTCTCCTAGAGATTTATAATGACCCCTTAGCACATTAAGTATTAAGAAGTCTTCAGTCAACTAACACGGCTAAACCTAGGATTTCTCAAATACATCTGACCTCAGAACATTTTTTGGTGTACATCTGCAATAACAATAGAGAGGACTAATACCTATGAAACACACGCCAAGAAACACTGGTGTGCCCCATTATCGGAAGAACTGGAATTCCACGCTATATCTGTGGGCTTTAAGGCTGCTGAACCAGGCTTAAAGCAACAGCCGTGAAAACGTATCTGATTACATTCACAGTGACATGAACCAAAAGAACCAGAGTTCCTCAAATTAATTTTTAGAATAAGTGCTTAGCACAGCACAAAAATTAAAATTGAAATGATACAGAAAAGATTAGCATGGCTTCTGCATAAGGAGGACATGCAAATTTGTGGAACAGTCCATATAAAAAAAGTGCTGCATAGTTCATATCACACATAAAAGATTATTTTCTTACTACTTACTACAGAAATTCATTCCATCATGGTATTGACAGTAAACAAACTACAGGAAGTAGTTTACATGTCTTAATTTTTGACGTCTTAGTAAAAATTCACAAATGTTTTTACCTGTCTTAACTCTGACCTTTGAAGCAACTCTGTGAGAAAGGAAGACTAGGAATTTTTTCTCCATTTTGCAGATGAGAAAATGACATAAAAAGCACAGTAACTAGGCCAAACTCACATAACTTGTAATTAATAAAGCTGAGAATCAAAACCAGGTCCTCTAACTGAATTCATTCTATTCTTATCAGTCATTAGAAATCTTCAGCTTCAAATGCTTCCTCCCTGTTTTTATAATTCTTTTGTAGGCTTTTTGCTATTCCTCAACATCATGCTTAAAATTTATAAGTATATTAGACTTGGAAATTCCTAGAGAATACGCATTTTGAATGGCTATCTTTAATTATAACAGCATAAGAGAAGGACCATAATCCGAACTAACTGATCTTTGGGGAAGGAGTTTGGAAACCAACAGGTGGAATTTAGCTAGTTTAAGTACATGAGAGATTATTTACAAAGAATGAAAAGAAACCATCTCCAGTATAAAATTCCATCTCGTTTGATTGAACAAATACGTTGGAGTGCTTTATGCACCAGGCGCTGTGTGACCATTTGAGGAAAAAAACTAGGGATTAAATAACTGCTCAGTGACAGCGGCCAATACTTTAGACTACAAAGAATGAAAAAAAAAAAACAAAATAAAACACTCCCTTTGTGATTAGTATCAGATCAGATCTGACTATTAAGTGTCTTTTGATCCCATTGTTTGAGACAGATTTGAAAACCAAAGAATGTTCAAAGGACACAGCCAAAAATTGCTAAGTAGGTTGGTAAACAGTGTTTCTAAGAGAAACATAAATCACTGGGGTAGGCAGCACACAGGTAAGGCCACTGCTTGTGGTGCCCACATCCCATACACTTCCAATTCGGCTCCCTGTTAAGGAGCCTGGAAAGCAACACAGGATGGTCCATGTACTTGCACCTGTGCACCTGTGTGGCAGACCCAGAAGAAGTTCCTCTATCCTGGCTTGGACAGGCTCAGTGCCAGCTATTATGCCCACTGAAGGAGTGAATGAAACACCTCTCTCTGTCTTTTACTCTCTCTAACTCCAAATTTTCAATAAATACATCTTTTAAAAAAATACTGAGCCCAAAGAAGAAAGACTTGAGGCATTTCCTAAAGATATTCCTTGAGTACACAGAATATGATATATGGAGATATTTTATCCTAAGTACCTGACAACATATAAAAGATTTGTATGGTAATTTCACAAATTTAGGTAACACATAAAAAAAGACTTTCCCAACAGCACACTGGGTTACTGGAAACAAATCTAGTCACTTTTGGAGATACCATCATTTGGGATACTTTAAAAATTTTTATTGGAAAGTCAGATTTACAGAGAGGAAGAGAGACAGAGAGCAAGAGTTTCCATCTGATTATTCACTCCCCAAGTGGCCACAACAGCTGGAGCTGAGCTGATCCAAAGACAGTAGCCAGGAGCTTCTTCTGGGTCTCTACCATGCTACCATGCGGGTGCAGTATCCTAAGGCTTTGGACTGGCCTCCACTGCTTTCCCAGGCCACAAGCAGGGAGCTGGATGGGAAGCAGGGCTGCAAGGGCATGAACTGGCACTTGGTTCATATGGAACCATATGGTCCATTTGCAACATACCCATATGGTAACCTGGAGCATGTAAGGTGAGGATCTGACCATTGACCCATTGTGCCGGGCCCTTCAGATGAGTTATAAGGGATGTTGGAGTAGCATCTGGTGCAGTGATTTCCACGTGGACATCTATATCTCCTATCGGAATACCTGGATTTGAATTGCAGCTGTTTCTGGGTCTGGCATCCTGCTAATGTACACCCTGGGAGACAATGGGTGACGGTTCACATAGTAGATCTGCCACCCATGTGAGAGAATCAGATTGTTAGGCTTCTAACTTTGGCCTGGCCCAAGCCTGGGTATTTTGGCCATTTGGGGAGCGAACTACCAAATTCTGTGTCTGTCTCTGCTTTCACATGCATCCATCCACCCATACATGCATGCATACATACATGCTTAAAATAAATAAATAAAGAGGCCTCATAAGAACAGGGCATTTGGCTACTTAATTAGTGATGACTTAGATATAATTACCATTTGTTAATCAAAAATCATTTTCTAAAACAATCTTTCAATGAAAAGAAAAGTAGAATTGAAATATGAAGTCATTTTAGGGAGATTGGTAAAACTGTGGCCATAATCAATATCACTTGCTAATTCATAAAGTGAGTCAAGCCAAATTCTGTCTTCAGTGCTGGGGGGGACAAGGATGGTTGAAGTTATTATGCTAGAAGTGAATAAAATCTTAAATGAGGAAATGGTATGGAGGGGCCAATGTTGCAGTATATAGCACACTAAGCTACTGCCAGCCGTGACAACATCCCATCTGGGTGCCAGCTGAGACCAGTTCCCATTCTGCCATAGTTAATATGCCTGGGAAAGCAGTGGTAGATGGACAAATTCTTGCGTGCAACACCCATGTGAAAGACCCGGATGGAATTCTAGACTGGACTCCAGCCTGGCCCAGGCCTGGCTGTTGCAGGCTTCTGGAGACTTACCACAGGATGGAAGATCTGACTCTCTGTCTCTCCTTTTTTGACTGTGACTGTAAAAACACTTCTTTAAAAATTAAAAAAAAGAATGGTGTGGATCCAAAACAGTTTAAAGCTTCCTCTCTTGTATTCACAGTGAATAGGCTCTCGGTATTGGTCATGAACGAACTCAGAACTCTGTCCCTTTTCAAGCATATACCCAAACTATAAAACAGCAAGAAGTGTCCAGAATTTTCTCACCGTGCTAAACTTAACCAGCAGCCCTGACTGAAGATGTGATGGGCGTGGAATTTAATTCCTGGTGGGAGTGTCCACAGGCAGCAGTGCTATCTGTGGCACGCAGCACCTTGGCACAGGATCAAGAAAATCACCTCCTAGGGCATGTCTTTAAGATCCCACAGTCTCAGATTGCATGCTCTTAAACAGAACTGAGCCAACCCCATTTTATCTCCACAAATGCTTTCTGTGTAGTTCGATATTCTTTTTAATTCATATGCATGTTGGTATGAAGAAAAAACAGAGTAAAACTTTTTAAAAAGGAAAAACATTAAAAGGAATACTCCAGACAATTTCTGTCAGAATATATTTTTAACATTAGGTAGCTGTAACTCTTAAAGACAGAATACTGCAGAATACTACACAGCCCACGTTTACGGATCATTCTGCACACCAACAGTTCGCTGAGGAGGTCACGCTGCCTCCATTTCTGCACCTTTGCTGAGCTGCCTCTGTTAACCACAACACTCCCCCTCTCTCATGTCCTTTGCTCATGTTGCTCAGGAAGCCCTCCCTGATTACTCCCCACCCAAAGACTGACTAGGCACCCCTTCCACTCCCGTGATGCCCTACACAAATCTTCCACTAACATGGTACCACTTGTCTTCTGGGTAGCTGTTTTTCCCACCAGCCTGTGACCATTCCCGGTTTGATTTTGTAAGACCAATGCCTAAAACATGGCCCCACACCAGACAAGTACGCAACAATACTCACAGAGTGAATACAGATTAGAAGTAAAATGCCGTGGGATACCATAATCCATCTCAACTCTCAAAGTTTACAAGTGAATCTGCCTGCTGGAATTCTAATACCGGAAAAGAGTGGCATTTACCATACAACTTTGTGATATTCCTTTCAACTCTGCACATATTCTTTACTGCTTTCACAACCACACTGACTTCCCACAGCTCTTGGTATTATTTGTCAATGGTGTTCTGTCTCTTCACACAGCTTTTCATGAGTGTGACTCTTGCATAACACATGGCCTGTGGTTGAAATGTCAACATAGCATGCCTATTAAAAATGCATTAACACTTAGGAGACTTACTGAATACATCTCCCCTGGGTTTCTGAGGATCTGTCTGTATCCTGTTGTCCCCTGTAATCCCTCCTGCAGATGTACTGGTGGCTGGTGCTACAGTGGTCAGCCTGGTGGTTGGCTTTTCTGGGATTGGCGGTGGCGGTGTTCTGAGCTCTGTTGGCAGGGCAGGTGGTGGCGGTGATGGAGTTGGTTGCGTTGTTGGCTTTGGTGTAGGTCTTAGTGTTGGCTTAGCAGTGGGCCTGGTGGTAATGACAGGAGGAATATACGGAGTCTTCAGAGGCCACCTAGTACTTCCAACTTCAGGAATCCAGTTGCTATGTCCTTCATCTCCATTTAAAATGGTACCATTTCCCTTTGGTGTGTGAATTGGACCTGAAGGTTCAATCATGACTTTTGGGATATCTAAAAAAGTCAAAAGATGTAAATTAGCACATAACAATTTCTTCCTTAGAAATAAAACATTATTAGACACATGGAAATGCCTCATGTCAATTAGTCCTATGTTTTGCCTTTAGAAAATTTCCTACTGTAAGTCAAGCTAACTTTCAAATAATAAATATAGGTATGTTTATGTATCTGTACACACACACTTACTCCATATAAGAATGCCTCAAAAAGTTTGTAGATAGCACATTATCCTAATTCCATTTAATGAATTATTTTTAAAGATGAACTTATTCAGTATTTGACAGGCAGAGTTAAACAGAGGGAGAGAAAGAGAGAGAAGTCTTCATCCTTTGATTTAGGCCAAACGGCTGAACACACCCTGACCTCTGATGCAGACAGGGTGTCCCAAGCACATGGGTTATCTTTCCCTTCCATCCCAGGCACATTAGTAGAAAGCCAGATTGGAAGCAGAGGAACCAGGCTGAGCTGGTGCTCATAAAGTATTCTAGCATTGCAGGTAGCAGCTTAAATCCCTCACTACACTGCCAGCGCTTGATGAACTTTCTGAAGTACTGTCACATGTATCTTGACTCATCCCTCAGGCATATGTAAAACATGCATCAGTGCTTCCATAATGATTGTATTAAAATATTCATCAAGTCAAACCTATCCATGAGATTTGAAAAATGCAAACTCCTTTTTAAACAGAAGGTCTTTTTGAAATATGATAAAAGTAAAGGTTGAGTCTGTTAAGTTTCCTGAGGTTACATGTATATTATAAAATCATGTCCAGAATTGTCTAAAGACCAACACTTTCCTTACTTACACATTCTATGTGTGCACACACACATATATAGTTCATGTAAAATAATTCGGTGAAATCTTCTATACATTGCTTTATAGTTGCTTTTCCTGTCTGCTAATTTATAAGGTTTCATTTTACTATAAAGGTCATGTCTGGGATGTTGTTTTTTCTTGATAATCTTCATGAAAAAGAATCAATATTTAATCTGCCTGGAAGGATATACTTCAGACTGTAAGTGACTACACGATCCTGAAAAAATCCTTTAATCCCCATAAAATCCCATGATTTTATGCCCCGTGGTTTTTAGTAAATATTTTACCTAAGCAATTTAAACATTTATCTGGTGTTACCTGAAATGTATGCTAAATTATGGATAGCATTTGGTCTGTAAAACTTTTATGCAGGAGGGCATTTTTTTTTCATGTTCATCTTTTAACATAATCATTATTATAAATATGGCCCGCAAAAATCCTAAAAACTGAAAATGTTCTGAACATAGAGGAAATAAATATGGCAACTAATTTTAACAGTAAAATGAGGAGGGATAAAACAGAAGAACAGGATATGTTCAGATTATCATTATAAACTTACATATTAATCATTTACTTATGATTTTAACAAAACGTAATTTCTCAGGTAGGGCTCTACTGTTTCTACCTAAAGTGAAGCTATTAAGAGATTTTAGTAAACAAATTTAAATGCTTTAAGATTACTGGGTCTAATTTTTTTTAAATAATTGATTTTTGTGTGTGTGCAAAACATAGATGGACAGTACCAGCTGTGAGAATTGTATTTCTTTAGTAATTAATCTTGTTGCTTGTCTTCCCTAGCAGTGCCTGCTGTGCACGCTGGTGCTGGGGTACAAGCGCTACTCACACACACAGGTGAGCCCGTTGCCCTGGTATCCTTCTTTACATTTACACTTGTAGGATCCGTGGACGTTGTAGCATCGAGCGAAGCTGCTGCACTGATACTGCCCTAGGGAGCATTCGTCTATATCTGCAGAAGGAAGTAGGGAAAGAAAGGGCTTGGTTAGGAAATAAATGTAATGAAAGATAGCAGATTCCCCTCCCCCCCCAAAAAAAACATTTTTAAAATGGAAGATCAACAAAAGGAATCAAGTACATGTGGACCCAGGACTAGCAGTAGTTGAACTGGACATCTACTGCTTTGCTTAATTTAATGACAATGCTCAGAGTTCTCTCCCACCCCTGACATCCCAGCCATCACCACAGTACAGAGAAGCATTCAGTGTTATGGGACAAAACAATGCAAAGCCACGGCTGGGTTTCCTTACCATGACACTGGTATTTGCCGCCAATGTACATAAGGTCGAAGCCTTTATGACATTTGCAGATGTAACTTCCGAAAGTGTTGACACACTGCCTAAACCTAGGGCAGGAGGCTCTTCCAGTGGCACATTCATCAATATCTAGAATATTAGATAACTGCATCTTAGGAAGAATGAGTGCATGTTCAGACAGAGTGGTTTTTAAAATAAATAGCTGACTGCAAACTGTTGTCTCATACGCAGCAGCTTACCGTAAACGGGATCCAGCTGGTTTCCCCCAAGGGAAACATAAATTGCACACCTCCAAACGTCAAGGCAGCCTTGTAAACTGAGTTGGTTTTGCACTGTATATTAGCACATACTACACCTGTACCTACCTAGTTGCTTGAATCAGAAACATGAGTCATCCTTGACAAACCTTTAACTCCCAAATCATCAAGTCCCATTCATTCTACCTATGGGCCATTATTTTAATTTGTCTTCTCTCCACCTCATTCACTGCCCTATTCCAAGCCACTTTCCAGCTCCTGAGTTAAACTCTCACAGAAACCTCCAAACTGCTCTTTTCTTGTCCATTTTATTCTCTAAAGTATTTCCCAACATGAAATATTTTAAACATGAAATCAGATCATTACCATGTTTAAAAACCTTTCTATTGCTTTCTGAATTAGATCCATGTCCTCCTATGGCCTGGAAGGCCCTGTAAGAATTGGCCCTTAACCAACCTTAACACTTGCATCTCAGGTCACCACCCCTCTCATACTCACACTCCATGGTTAAAGAACACTACATTTTTCCCCTAGTATTATCAAAGTTCCCCATTTTTAAAAGGTGTACATTTACTTGAAAGAGTTAGAGAGGCAAGGAGAGAGCTCTCATCCCCGGAGAGCCACAATGGCCAGTGCTCAGCCAAGCTGAAGCAAGGGACTAGTAACTTCATGCAGGTCATCCTGTGGGGGCAGAGGGGCCTCAAGCACCTGGGCCATCATTCTCTGCTTTTCCCAGGCCTTTGGCAGGGAGGAGGATCAGATGTGGAGCAGCTCGGACATGGGATGCCAGCATAGCAGGCAGAAGCTTTACTTGTTACACCACAACACTGCCCACTGGGCCCTCCCTGCTTATCTTTCTTAAAAAAAAGGGGGTGGGGGAAGAAAAGAAATCACAATGTCTAAAAAAGAGAAAGAAAAAGAAACCCACACAAGCCAATGTCTCTCGCATTTGCAGCACCCTGAACTGCTTTCCCAAGACTGACCAACTCTTCATGTGGCTTATGACCCAAATCAGTTTTCTCTGACCATTATTTTTTTAAATACATCCTTCTGATTTTGTCTTGGTATTTCATACTAACACTTAGCACAGCCATGACTTTAACGAGTGTTTGTTTCTTTCCTGTCTCCCTACTAGAATGCCAACTTGGTTGAGAATCAAAATCACGACTGCTCTGTCCATTTTCAAATATCCTATCACTTATCACAATGTTTGAGACAAAGCATTCGATAAATATCTCTTGAACTACCAGATGCTATCGGATCTAGCACCTGCTAAATACTGTGCTAAGCTCTTTACATACACAATCTTATCCACTTCTCCCAGTGGTGCTATGTGGTAGTATTGCCCTTTCAGAGATAAGGAGACACAAGCTCAAAGAAAGAAAAGTCTATTGATGAAGATTGCAGACTTAGCATATGGCAGAGGCAAGTTTGAAACCAAAGCCAGCAGCACCTTCCTAAAAAAAAAAAAATCTAACCTCTACGGTGCAATAAATACAACCCAGCCATGTTGGTCTGTTCAGCTTCAACATTCGTTGCTTCCCTTTGCTTCCTATCTTCTAGCAATACTGAGCTTTTCCTGCTTCCCTAAACAGCATGCTCCCTTGAACAGTACCTTTGCTCAAAGTCTCCTCCTGCCTCTTTTCGGAGAAATAAGACAAAATAAAACAAAACAAACCCAGTCCATTTGCAAAGAGCGATCCAGTTTGGAACATGTGCTCTCCTGCGAAAGGACAGCTAATCATTCAGGGGAACTGCCTTGCCCCATCCCGGATCTTCCACTTTGCTCCCTTACCACGGACTGTCGATAGAGGTGCTCCATGCTACAACTCACCCACGCAAGTCCTCCCGTCGGGAGCCAGCTGGAGGCCAGGGGAAGGACACTGGCATCGAGTTTGTCCTTTGACAACATCACAGCCATACTGACAGTTCGCCATGGAGCACGTCAAAGCACCTGGGAAGACAGTGGCTGGCTGACTCAAAGGAGGTAAAGCAATAAATAAATAAAATCTATGCAGAAATAACCATGGCTTTCACTTGCCCTGAAATCACTAACAATCAACAATGAAGATACAGAAGCCTCAATGATCCAACCTTGCAAAGAAAGTGAAGAGTGGAGAGAGCAACTGAAATCCCTTCCCACCCTCTGCTCCCCAGTCCCTCCACCTCACACCCATTTCCTCAAGGAGGATGACCAGTTGAAGCAGCTCTTTTAGCATCTGAAGAGGACCTGCAATCCTCTTGATGAGTTAAAAGACACAGATTATCTCACACAGATTATCTGGAAGTTTTTTTCAAAGACTAAGGAAAAGGGATAAAGGAGCTGTTTTCTGTATCACTCAAACAAAATGCTGATCATGACCAAAACCTCCAAATAGTCATCACAATTCCCTGTTACAGTTTAGATGTGACAATAAAATGCAGTGTGCATCTCTACTTTCAAACCGAAGGTGGAATCCCAATGAAACTATTAAGTATATCTTTTTAAAATATATTTTTATTTTGAATTTTGAATTATGTGATACAATTTTCCCCCCAAACTCTCACCCCCATCAGATTTTTCCCATTTTGTTACAGTAGTGTAGTCCTTCATAAGGAATCATAATTCTATCAGTCCTTATTTGAGTGTACCCCGACATTGTTGGTACAGTGTCAGACAGTCTAGCATCCATAGTCTACACATGTCCAACAGTTTCGTTGGGAATCCATCTTTAAGTATATCTTGATGATAGGATGCTGGACTGTCTGCCATTGTCTGTATCTATAATGCCTTGACACACTTAGATAGCAGAATGATGGACTTTTGACTGCTTATGAAGGACTACACTATTGTGAAACTATGAGGGAAATCAGTGGGGGAGGGAGCTTGAGGAGAGAGAAGCTAAGGGAAATCCCAGAGCCTGTGTAATTGCATCATAAAATAAAAAAACAAAATTTAAAGAAAGTTCTTTAGGACAGCAAGAGATTTCCATTCAATTGTGCAATGTTTACGGGAGCCTCACCACACTGGGACATGGTGTTAGAACTGTACTCGCCTTACTCAAAGTTGCCATGGTCTGCTTATGCTAAATAAGTTAGGTCAACTTTCCAAATTTTATAAAATACAACTCAGTTAATGGATTATCAGCAAAAATTAAAATCATGAAATTATTTGTTCATCAAATAAACCTCAATTCAATGTTGAGCCTACAGAGAATTTTAGGACATTCTTTACAACATAAACACAACCAAATGATAGTGGAAAACACCATTCATTTTTTTCCTACAAAGATATGGCATTTGTTTATTTTTTTTCATTTGGAGCAGTTTTTTTTTAAGTCAGACTATTATAAAGGTCTAAAAGTTTCTATACTGTTAGCAAGAAATGTAAAATGAGAAGATATTTGTGAGTTGTACAATCACTCAACAGTTTTAGTGGATTCTCTCTGAACATTCCTCAAATAGTCACCAATGTTCTTGTTATAACTGGAATAGTTCTTCTAGTCCCAGATATAAGACAGGGTAAACACATTGGGGAAAAAATGTGGAAACAAACTTAGTTGCAAAATTACTAGTTCGAATACCATTCCCAAATCAATGTAACATAGGCACCCATGACAAATGTCATACAGCCAAAATGGGCACCACTTATTTTAATTTTCAATTCTGCATGCACACATGTAAACACAAGCACACATCCTATTTATAAGGGCCTGGAAGGCTATTTTCACAAAGGCTTATCACCAGAGTGCAACAGTAGTCAAGCCAACAGCACTTCTAAAACAGTGAAGATTCTTGACATACTTGAGCAGGACCCATCCGGCATGAGCATGTATCCGTTGAGACAGTAGCACTTGTAGCTGCCATAAGTATTCATGCACCTGTGCTTACAGGGCCGAGGCTTCAGGCCGCACTCATTCAAATCTGAAAAGCATGTGGATTGAAACAGAAAAATCACAAAGGTTCAGCATTTGTGGCAAAACACCTAACATACTTCTTTATATAGAAGAACAAAGGAGAACAGGAGGTCCAGATATAGTAACCATTATGTACAGCAAGAAGCAAGCCTGCTCACAAAATCTGAATTTGACCAATGATAATGCCGGAAGTGGTCAGGAGTCTGCTGGCCTTTAGGGAGCTTCTAGACATAAGGGTAGAAGATTCTCTTCACACACACGGTTCTTCCTTACCATCGCTGGAAAGAGCAGCACGCTAACTTCTTACAGGGAGAGGCACTCTATCATCTGTTAGTTGCTTGATCCCTTATCTTCTCCAAATATCTAGGTTCCACTCCCAGGCCATTCCCGACAGTGTGTCCTGTTCTTTCAATGTCTTTAAATTAAGGAGCCATCACATGAGCAATTTTACTTTATAAGGAAGTACACAGAGTATAAATCGCTAGGCTGATTTGAGTCTCACCAAAAGAACAATATAGCTTTAGAGAAAAGAATTCCTAATGCAGCTTTTCTTGTTTTGTACATTCTGTACTGATCTGAGATTAAAGAAACTGCAGTAACACATTCAAGGCACAAAATGAACTTTAAAAGAACATCCTCCAACATAAGTTAAGAAGGGCTCATGGATTTAAATACTACTGGGAAAAACATAATAAACTATCATATGTTTTGAAAGTATTGGTTTAAATAGCAATATAAAATAAATTTCACATAAGAAAATTTTCCAACCAAAATTTAAAATTGCCTCAAGTGAACATAAAACTCCTAATGACAAACACTGGAATTAATAATGCCCCAAATATACACTTCACTAGAAAGAAATGTGACTGCATGTTTATTTTGTCTGGAACCATCAACTTAAGCATCTTATTAGCATAATTTAATTAGCTATAAATCCACATCACTGAATAAGAAATATACATATTCAGTCACGAAGTGGTTTTCAAATCTGATCAAACTTAAAACTGAACTGCCTGTTTATTAGAGATCTGCCTATTTTACTTAACTAAATTACCAAGTCACATAATGTTTTAAATCTACAAAACAATGATTGAATCTAAGAGTATTTCCATATCTCAGTGACTTCCCAACTTAGGATTTTTTTGCCTTTAAAATAATTGTAAGCAGGTTCCCAGGGTAAAAGCCTGAAAAGGTTAAATAAATAAAACAAATACCTTTGTCATCTCCTGCATAGGAGAAAATCTTCAATTTTCTACCTCATTGTCATTCTTCCAAACCAAGAGCTTTCAAAATAGAACTACGTTTTTGAATAATTCAAAAACACTTAACTCATACGATGTGTTCTGCAGATTACAGTATAAAAATATTGATTTATTCCTCTTTTAAACTAAAAGTTAAGAAGGAATGTATGAGAAACAAATTATCTCCCCTCCTTCATATTCTTTTGATTTCAACATTTATTGCCAGTCAGAGCTGGAGAATCTTTTCTCATTTCTTAAGAGAACTCATCAAGGCTAGCCTAAGATGGTCCTGCAGAGTAACCCCTGCATGTGAGAAATCTATGATCTACACTAGGTAAATAGTATTTAAATCTGAGTATACTGTTTGAGAAAAAGCATTAAGTTTTAAACACAACTGAGTTTAAACACAATAAAACAATAAAGTAAGACTAAATTCCACATCTCCAGGATTTTAAAAAGTATCAATTAAGAATCTCTAGGTCTTTTTTCCTCAGAACCAGAGAAATTCATTGGGTTCCTCACGGGAACTGCTCTGGAGTTTCTAGCTTCAGGCATCTTGGAGCCAGAAGCTCTGTGCAGATGGAAGCTTCTTCAGAGGTCATGCTCATGAAACTGGAGCTACAACCTAGCAGAGGCAGCCCTTCCCCAGTCTGATTCAAGTCAGTAGCTGAGGGGTCACTTAGAATTGCTTTGGGAATCTTTACAGCCCCCAACAGGGCTGCAGTAGACAGACTACTACACTCCAACTGCATCCTTCCCTTCCCACAAGCAAATCACTTGGACTTAAGAGCAAGTGAAACTAGAGGGAAAGGGTGACAATAAAGTGTCATTTTTTTTTTAAAGAAAATACTGGGAACCATTCTGCAAAATAATATGGAAATGGAAGAAAACTGCAACAAACACTCAATGGGTAAATGTCGGAACATTTATTGGCTATTTTACCCGCTATGAACCTGGTACGTAAGAATCCAAATACATGGAGCGCAACCTGTGAAAGCTGCACTCTGACAGCTGCTGATGGAATGGATGACATCCCGGACGGCTGGCTGCCTGATGTTAACATCCCCAGTGACTGCCACCGTTGCCCCGCACACACAGGCAGGTGTGTCCGAAAAACTGCACACTGCCCTCACAAATCTAAGACCATCACAGGAATTATAAAATAGGGTTCCATAGCTGTCCATGCGTATTAGTATTTTCCAAATACCGTTATGTTTGCCATAAGTAGGGAGCTTCAAGAGACCAAATGTGTCTGGTGTCCTAGTGAAAAACTTCACTGTCTTTAATTTTCCCAAGGGTTTCTAATCTGTAACAAAATTACCTCATTTCCCTATTGGCCTTAAGTCTTATAAAGAGTGTCAATACATGTTGATTCCAGTAACTACTATACTGTCACAGCATATTGGCCACAGACCTAAATAATGCTTGTACTATTAAATAAAGCCATGGATTTAAAATGTTCCCAGATGATAGCAGTGTTCCTATAAGAAGCAGAACAGCATAAAACTATGAAAACTTTCTTTAATCATGACTTCGCCAATAAATCTTAAAAGTTGGTAATAGGAGACAACATTTCAGTGCTTTAATTTTAACTTTACTCGTTCTCACTGCAAGTTTAAAAAGTAATATAAATTACAAGGAAAATCTATAATTACAACATTTAATGAATTCTATCATGTACTTATCAAATGACAGATCTTTACAGTTAAGTCTTATACACTTAAATACTTTCATTATGAAGTACACAGCTCTTAAAAGGAGTTGGTTGTTAACTGGAAGTACAGTTAAGCAGGCTGACGGATTCAAGAGCCTCAGTGGAAGTGGGGTGCGGGGAGGAAGTGACATGGCTCAGAACAATGCAAGCTGCACAGCATTATTACTACACTTCAAGAAAGAAGAATCAGAAACTTTATTAGCATGCAGACACTGAAAAGTAGCTGGAAAAACCTGGAAGAGTTTACTGAATAAGATAATTAAATGTTTTTTTTTTTAAAGGAAAATAATGTATCATTCACTTTAACTCATTTGGAGAATTTTTTTCCCCTTTGATGCTTCAGCTGGGCAAGGTTTCAGAAATCTAAGCTTGTAAATTTTATCTGACTAAACTGGAGGTCATAGGCCAAGAGACGTCAACAGGTTAACTGTCCTAATTCTCTTCTCTACCTTGTCAAGGACTCTGCTATTACTGCTATTACCCTAATGCCTTGGAAGGTATGCAAACGCATCAAGGTCTCTCTCAGCAAAGACCATAACTGATAAACTATTTTAACACAGTTATGTTACAGTTTCTAAACTTGTGATTGGATAAGGGATGGAATCTTTTAGAAGAACTATAAAATAAGCTGACTCTTTACTTTTTAACAATCGAAGCATTAATATTTTTGTTGCTCCTATTCTCACACTATCCTTGCAGGCAGACAGGGTAAGAGCTACCATCCCCTGGTTACTGATGGATTTGCTAAGACCTCAGCACATTAAGCAACTTGTTCCCATATATCTACTTAAATGATATCCTGGAATCAAAAACCAGGCTTTCTGAAACTACAAAATTTACTCTGAAAGAAGCAGATGAATGGCTTGCTTTTTAAGCAACTCAACACTGCAAAAACATAGTAGTGGAGAAAAGGATTTAATCACTTTTTAACTCTCCTTACCAAAAGGCATCAAAACCCCAATTTCAGGCGCTCTGCAGTTTTCTGACTGGGCCAAGATACAAAAGCAAAGGTCATTTTGCTGTCTGATTTTTAGAAAACGTATCAAAACTGGAGAAGAAGAAGAGAAGCAATGATGTTTGGCACATTAAAAGGACAGTAGAGGCTCCATGCTTGTCAGATCACAGAGAAGCAGCAGCAGATAATCATTTCTGCTGCCTGCTTCACATGCTCAGGCTGAAGGCCAGACACTCTCGGGCTAGTCTGCAGAACATTTGCAAGGGCCACAACTGCATGAAGCTGTGCAGGTGGGAGGAGCAGACCACCTGAGACAAAGCACGCTCACCCCTCGAAGGTACACTTGTGGCTTGATCCAGGGGTTGCAACACAGGCTGTTCACTGCCTTGACCAAGAGGAGCTGGGTAGGAGTGCTCATCTTCAGACCAGGAAGAAGGTAATAAGAGTCAACTTTGAACGGATGTCATTTTAGCCCTAAAAATCTTTACAAGTATATGTTAAATAATTACATAAAGCTGGTGGAGTTTTAAAAAAAAGTGCTTGTGATATTTCACAAGAACATTTCTAGTTCTTCTATTCTCTTTTCTTTCATTTTTCTTTTCCTGAAAATTCACTACAGATTCAAGACAACACACACCATCAATTATCATTTCCCTTCATTTTTATAAATCCCCCAAAGAGATGGTAATTTTTAAAAGCATAATTTTTGTTATCAACAGAAGATAGATTATTCAAAAATATACATACAAACATCAGTTACAACCAAACCACTCTCTACAGATACTGAAGCCTGAAATAAGCAATTTAAAATGCTTTTGCTATATTATGGCATTGTACAATAGTGATTTCAAATATTCTGTGATTATGCAGAAATTTATGAGCTGATTAAAGGCTTCATTCAAATAATAGCACTATAAATCATCAATGTTATTAAAATGTAAGAACTGATGAATCATGTAGGTTAGACTTCATCAGAACATACACACAAAGCTTTAAAAGAAACAGCTAAAAAGGTTAACTACCGCCATAACAATTTGCCAAATATTACAAAGTGGAGTGGAGACTCAAGAAAGCAATCACACTCTTTTTCAACACTATTGCATTATTAACATCCAGATGAACTTTCAAATCAAATGAAATTTGGTTCCTGGGGTTGAAATCGTATCTTCAAATGGTGAGGCTGTAAGGAAGAACTGGAACAGCAGGCCGAAAGCCCTTAGACTTCTGTGTTTGGGAAAACAATCAACTTTCAGATGCGCTAGTCTGCTAAACAAAATTCTGCAGAAGCCCCTAGATTGGGACTGTGTACCTGCACTGGGACAAGCAAACTACAAATCTTTGGAGGGTTCATCACAGTAACTGATCTTTGGTAAATTACAATATGCCCTATAACTAATTGCCTAATTAAGTTGAAAACAATTGATTGTTTAAGTTATAACCAGTTGACTGGCTGACCACGGTATAGCCATTTAAGCTGCTTTCTATGCCTCACTTGTTTTCTTGTTTTAATGGTGTCTGATCACATGACTGGTTAGCTTTCAGAACCTGTTCTAGCTCTGGGAGCTACTAGATTTGTGATTAGTCTTGGTTTTGCTTTGCTTTGTTTAAACTACCAAATTTAATTTGTCTAAGGAATTTTCCACTAAAATTTAACGTCTGGTTCTGTGTTATAAGACACAGACTCTTTTCTTGGGACGAGAAATTCAACATGTGAAATAGAATCCACAGCAAAACATTAGTAATTGATCATTTTAAGATATTTCCTCTGAAATTGTTATAAAGTACATTGCGAATGCAAAAGAACTTTTTTTTTATTTTCAAAAATATATGGTTTTTTACATGCTAAAAATCATCCTCCAAGAGGAAAGTTATAAAAAGATTATTATCAATAATACTACTGATTTTTGGCTGAGGGGAAAGATTTTAAAGCATACAGAGATTCAAGAAGAGGAAAAATATACAGGGAACAAAATCACTGAAGAATTAAAGTGGAATGTGGGGAGAAATAAGTGACCAAAGAGAATGTTGCCAGAATTTGGGTTAGCATTTCATCCAGTGTGAAGGTGTATGTGCCTTGTAGAAAGTGTTACTGATCAGTTCAGGCCTTTGATCTTGTATCTTCTCTTGGTGTATCACATACAGAGAAGGACTCTGGGAACAGCGAACCACCAGCACATCCTACCAGGCCTGTGACAAGTTTGTTAAATGAAGCCAGTTCCAAAATGTGACTTAGCCTGCTTTTCTCATTGCTCCCCAGGCAGTTTTAGCAGCACTGCATAAGCACCTGTCATTTATTCAGGCTGTCTGATCCCCTTAGCAAGTTTCTAGAGGGCTCTTAATTATAGTCTATAACTCAAAACCAAAGTCTTGGCGAATACTTGCCTAGCCAATACTTAATGCTCTCATTTACTTCTGATCAGAAACTAATTTCCAGACTACGAAATTTCAAACTCAAATATTACTTCTCTCCTCAAGCAGACAGACACCTATTTGATCTCCCATAGCTCTGTGGCATGCTTTCCAGTTAATCAGCACGTGTGGTCTGGGATGGAAACAGGGTTGACCTGTTGGGGAGCAGCGATGGCTGATAGGCTCACCTGTCGCGTAGAGCAGTCTCCCGCAATAACCAGAGACCTCAGGCTACAGATCCAGAGAAAGGCCTAAGGTGCTAGACGGGAACCATTAAGGGAACAAATGCTTAATGAGCTCTCAACATGTGTAAATCACTTTAATAGAGTTTCCGGGTACCAGAAATCAGAGAGCGCAAAGAGTTCCTGCCACACAGCAGACACCTTTCCCCAGCAATGTGCCACTACTACGCTTGTGTCTTTTCTTTTCTTTACTTCTTTTTCTCATTCTTTATCTCTCTTGCTCTTTCTGTCTTCCCTTCCTCCCTCCCTCCTTCTTTCCTTCCTTCATTCCTTTTGATAGTAAAGGAAAAGTAAGAGATGATTAAAACACAGAAGTTTTTTCTTAGCTAAGTTTTATTTTCAAGACTGGACTTGAATGGTATCTTTAGTGTCCACACTGTTTTTGCAAGTGTAAACCTCATTTACTACTAATGAAACCCTCTTCTCTCTAGGGAGTTTGATTCTGGGAAGCAAGACTAGTTTAGTATATGCTGTTTTTTTTCAGACAACAGGTACACATTAAAAGATAAACAGGGTAGGGCCCAGTGCGGTAGCCTAATGGCTAAATTCCTTGCCTTGCACGCCCAGAATCCCATATGGGCGCCGGTTCGCTTCCCATACAGCTCCCTGCTTGTGACCTGGGAAAGCAGTTGAGGACAGCCCAAAGCCTTGGGACTCTGCATCCACGTGGGAGACCTGGAAGAAGAGCTCCTGGCACCTGGCTCCTGGCTTCAGATTGGTGCAGCTCTGGCCTCTTGGGGTGTGAAACACTGCATGGAAGAGCTTCCTGTCTCTTCTCTCTGTATGTCTGACTTTCCAATAAATGTAAAATAAATCTTTTTTTTTTAATTATTGCATTTCATTTTATGACATCGTTTCATAGGCACTGAGGTGCCCCCAGCCCCTCCCCGCACCCTTCCCACGTGGTGGATTACTCCACCTTGTTGCAGTATTACACTTCAAATCAAGTCATGATTCCTTCATTGCAAGCATGTGCCATGCATAGAGCCCAGCACCTTATTGTCCAGATCAATTCAACAGTTTCTTGGGGACGCCCTCTCTGGTCTGAAAGCAGAGCTGGCAGAATATCGTTCTAACCTATTAAAAGCCGTGACATAACATAAATAAACCTTAAAAAAAAAAGATAAACAGGATAAACGGGCTTTCCGGAAGTAAGAGATGCCCAGTGAGAAAGCTTTGTTCCCATTGTAACTTCAGTTTCTCAGGAATGCATTCAAGTTGAGGTAAGGTCCTGAAAATGAGTTTGAATGAATTTCTCTGCAATTTTGAAAATGGCTTCTTTTAATTAATATCCTTGTGTAAATTCCTGGCATCAGGAAAACAAAGTTTTATAGTGTTGACCCATGAATAAGAACAATGAAGGTTGATGTTAACTACTTTATATATAATAAGAAGCAGCAGCATACTGGGATTCTAGACAAATGCCGGTAATTCAATAACCAGGATGGAGCAAGCTGTTGCTTGTGAACTGGGGAAGCGAAACAGAAACTGAGATAACAAAAGCACCACTTATTTCAAGATGACGCAGGATCATTTGGTAAATCTCAAGTTACTAAAATGTAAGATAAGAAAGCAGCATTAGAAGAATCTGCTATAAATCAGACGGCAGATAATGTATGAACAGCTTCTCCTGCCATGGGACATGACATATTTTACTAGCATGAATTTCATCTGATGAATAATTACACCTACTTTCAAACAGCAGTGTTCTAGGCGGTTGTAAAGACTAGACCTATAAATCACTAGTTTGCATGACACACCTCAAGGGGGATGCTGCAATAAATCAAATACAGACGAAAGGTAGGATTTCAACAGTATCATTTCTGCATCTGATGTGATCAGCCAAGTCTTCATGGGTAGTTGGACTTAATTCATTGTTTGATTTCACATGTGAAATAAGTGAAATATTAATATAAATTCAGAAATAAGTCAAAGTTTACTCTTGCCTTTTCATCCTTTTGTGAAAAACTAGTCCTAACTCTGTTTCTAAATTTTTTTAGCTCCCAATAGTAGACATTTTTAGATGAAATTTAAAAAAAAACAAGCCCTGACTTTCTTGAATGGGGGGAGAATCATGTTAGCACTCTTTTTTCTTAATCAAAGCTAGTATGTTAGAAAGAATGTGGATAACTCATTTGACAAATAAGCTCCTTTAGCAATGAATTCTGTGAATTTTGGCAAGACATTTAAAATTCTTGAAACTTCTCAACTTCTTTTTCAAATGAAAAAAGTGCAATAATCCTAAGTTATTTATCGTTTCATTGCAGCAAACAATCCTCTACTTTCTAACACAGTAGTACAGATTAAAATAGACAATACATAAAAATACTTGGTGCTGACAATGTTGAATTAATATTTTCTTTCATAAGCAATTGATACTGATTTTTACAATCATTTGCTAAATTAGCAGTTTTACTTTATTTATTTATTTATTATTTGAAAAGCAGAGTTACAAAAAGAGAGGGAGAGACAGAGCAAGAGACATTTTCCACTCACTGGTTCACTCCCCAAGTGGCCGCAACAATAGGGTCTGGGTAAGGGCAGGAACTTTGAAACTTACATGGTCCTCACGGGAGTACCAGAAGGAGTACCATGGAAGGGTGATGCGGCATTTGAGCCATGCTCTGCTCCCATCGCACACACCTTAGCAGAGAACTGAATTAGAAGCAGAGCAGCCAGGCCTCGAGCTGCCAATGAGAAGGCGGCAGCTCTGCCCGCTGCCTCAAAATGCCAGCCCCTAATATTTTAATTTCTATTATTTTCTAAGATTTATTTATTTTTATTGGAAAGGAATATTTACAGAAAGAAGGAGAAACAGAGAAGAAGATCTTCCTTCTGCTGCTTCACTTCCAAAGTGGCAGCAACGGCCATATCTGATCCTATCAGATCCAAAGCCAGGAGCGAGGAGTTTCTTCCAGGTCTCTCACGTAGGTGCAGGGTCCCAAGGCCTTGGGCCATCCTCGACTGCTTTCTCAGGCCACAAGCAGGGAGCTGGATAACAAGCTGAGCCACCAGGACATGTGAAATGATCCATACAGGATCTCAGCACTCAGAGGCTCTTAGCCACTGAGCCATCACGCCAGGCCTGCATTTAATTACTGAAGGGCATTTCAAACTGGTCAGCAGTTGAATATTTAGTCATAGAATCAAAGGCTCAGAATTGGAAGAAAGCTCTACCTTTCAATTAATACACCCTATCTGAACTCTATCAAAAGAGAGCATTCCCAGGATCTCAGGAGGTTAACTTTTGCTGGCAGCTTCCAAACGAGCAACGGAAGAAGGAATACAGATGCAAGAATGTCTACATCATTACCATAGCGATTGTCCTTTTCAAAATATACTTTAATAGTATCAAAGAATATGAATGGGGTAGAAGTCATTTGGTTGGTCCGTCAAGAAAAAAAAATGAACAGGATTCACCATTTTTATCTGTTTGAAAAGTGGCAACTCACATCTTAGCACTAACAGCGCTGGAAAGTAGTTTGGTGTGATCATTGAATTTTGCTTGGCACAGAGTACTCATGTCAAAACTGTTTTCCTACCTTGGTTGCAGGTTTTTCCAGCATACCCAGGATGACACTTGCACTTGTTTGGCCCGATGCATTCGCCATGTTTGCATTGTGGCTGACATATAGCTGTGAAAATAAAACGGATATCACACATTATTCCTAGATCAGCAGAACACCAGCCATATAGCATTGTCATCACATACTAGTTTGATAATAGAAGAAACCTCAAGAATTTACAACGAAGTAGCAGGTGACACAAAATCCCTGTTTTTGTGGATACGGTTTACACTACACATACATGTAAACACATTTTATGATATACGTATGCCATTCAGAGCTGGAAAGTTTTCTAAACTTGAGGACAATACTCAAATAGTTAAGAGGAAAGAAAAGCATAATTATGTATTAAATATAGCTGATGTCTGTTAATCATATAACTTTACAGTAACTTGTATCCACAATTTCAAACCCTTTCTCTCAAATTCATGTTAAAGAGTAGCACTTTGTCCAACGATACTGGCCAAGTATGAAATCCAGATAAGTCTCCAATTAAATAATAAAACACGGCCAGCCTCACTGGCGCTCAGATGGGCACCGCCTCCAAAAGTAAGAGCAAGGCTCTGATGCTCTCTCTCATCAGTAAACCGAGTTCCACTGCCTTCAAGAGTTCAAAAAGTTGTCCATCTTTACCCAAGGCTTTTCAGGTCTGATTGGAACTTATTACGTTTTTTATCTGCCAGTGACTGTCAGTGAAGGTGACATCTGACAATGTCTAGAGACACTGACTGTCACATTCAGGGGTGTGGGTACTCTTGGCATCTAGCAGGAAGAGGCCACGGGTACTGTCAAACACTCTAGGGTACAGAGACGACAGTCCTTCACATAACAAATGATCTGTTCCCTAACGTCAGGGTGACAAGACTGAGAAACGGGGCTCTATTACAAGTATGTGTTTTGTAAGAAGATAAAACGTAGTAATATGGAATGTAACTGGTCTCGAGGGTCTGCAATCAAGATTTTTTTTAAAAAATCATGTGTTTGAAATTCAGGGCAACACTTATTTGTTAGCCAATGGATAGCATCTATGAAGTCTGTAAAAACCCTAATAAGAAAATGTATGCAGTTTTGTAAAAAAAAAAAAAAAAAACCTTCAAATAAGAGCCTTGTGTTGGAACTGGACAGACAAATAAAGGCCTACCCAAGGAAAAGAAAATTACACAGCAAAGTAGACTATCATCCAATTAAGGGTCACTCACAGTTCATATTGACCAGAAGAGATAATGATTACTTGCAAAAGAGTAAAAAACAGTCATGCATGAGAGGCAGCAGATGCTTTCTGTTCAAAATCAGACTGAGCAATGTGTGGTAACAGGTGGTTGCTGTAAACCTATGTATCATCATAAGAATTCGCTGATAGATATAAAAGCTTTGGGGACGTTTGCATGGTGACGCTGTGTAGGATGGACTGGGATCCCAGAGGCTTTAGTCACTACTGGTCAGCAAATAAGAATCAGTGAGGATGCTGAGTGGTGAAGTCCCACATCTGTGGGAACAGGTGAATTCTAAGGAAGGCCCTTTCCATAGGGATCCTCACTCAACAGTACACCTTGTCAATGGTTTATACACAAGTTTGAAAACAAATCCCAGAAACAAGTCTCTGTCACCAAGAAAATCAAGTTTCGAAATTCTACCTTAAAAAACACATTCCATAATTCTGACAAGTATATATGAACACAACCTGCGTATCCACATATCACCGAACACACAGCATGACGCTTGCTATGAAGACAGAACAAGTCCACACATACTCAAAATTTTTCTTTAAAAATCTCAAGATCATTATGTGCAAGGGAAGGTAATAACCTCCAAAGTAGCTGGCATTAGAAAATGTCTTTAAAAACAAGGAGAAGTTATACAGAAGATAACACTTGAAGACATGATAAAGCTGAGTAAGAATGGGAAACACATGAAACTTCCTCAAGGCCCCAAACCGCACTGCCTTTGACCCCCAACCATTCTGATGGCATTCCAAGCAGTGCTTTTTTATTGTCCTTGTCCCTTCCTCATTGTTTGTCCTTAGCAGAATGCCTAATCTTGAGCACATCAAATGCACACATTCCAAGAGGCAAAGACTGCTAATGTTTCCTCCATGCTCAGGGAGTCAGCATTTTAAAACAAACTGCTGTTTGCACTTCTGTCCAGCAGACTCTTCACTGAAATAACTAACAACTCTTAGTCAAGAGTTATTAAACAAGACAGAATATCCCCGAAGCTGATAAAAATCTACTTTTCTTTTTACAAAAAGTTAAAAAAAAAAAAAGGTAAGGTTGCTTTCTGCTTATCTTGGTGGCATTATGTTTGGAATGGATCTCTACCAATATATATTGTTTGTTACACACAATGTCTCCTAGTGGATAAGGATGAGGTGGGTGCTGGAGTCAGAGGGATATAGAAATTCACTGTGGAACCACTTAGGCTAAAGCCTGGCTGTGACAGAGATCAAAGAACAGGGAGAGTGCATAGTAACTTATAACTTCGCATCTCCTAAAGGCCTCATGTGTGAGTCGTGATATTAGAAACCTTTTAAAAGAGGTATGGCAGGATGCGGTGGGAGACAAAAGCTTTTCATCCAAATGGAGGAGACAGATAGTTCTGAGATTCTCAAGGAGTGTGAAGTGCTCTCTTGGGGCCAGGGTGCCAAGCGCCCTGAACAGCACAAAAGATCAAAAGACAGGCTGAAGCAGATCACAGAAGGCTAGCTAGACACTTACCAATATCTAGCCTTCTGCTTTAGCCTAGGCATGGTTTTGGGTGTTTTATTTTTGAGTGGAGGACTAACTTAACAATGGAAAATTACATTCCCTGCATATTTCCTCAGCAGATACGGATAGCCAAATGACTATGTTCTGGCTGACTGATGTGCAAGCAAAAGCTATTGGTGGGAGAAGGAGAGTTGATGGGGTGTCGTTTGAAATGCTACTTGAATGGAGGGCTGTCTTCTTGACTGGAATGTACAAGTCACTTCCGAATTACAGTGGCCTTTCATGACCCTGAAGTGATCTTGGAAACTTGAAGACAGAGCAAGAAGTCCTAACAGTAACCCTAAATGGCCACTCCAGCAATTTAGGGCACTATTGGCACTATTACTTACAGCCAAAAGCAACTCCTGACTGTCCCTAAGCTCTTGGCTGAGGAATCTTGACTTAGTCTGTGTTTATTCTTAAGATAGCAAAGATTTTCTTTGGATATACATGTAGGATAGAAGTGTTACGAGTAATTGCCAGTAGAATTACAACTTGACTAATTTATTTTGTACCTGTATTTCATAAATGCATGCTTGCAAAATAATTTCATTTCTATACCTAAACTAATTTGATTAGAAAGGACATAGCCCATTTCAAAAGCAGACAAACATAATTTCTAACTTGTATGTAAATTGGCCTACCTTCTATTAACTCATTCCACTGTGAAGTGTGGAGACCAGAACAAACTACTCTTTACAACCTGCCTTCCTCAGGGGCTAGTAGATCACAATTATTACCTCCCAAAAGAAAAATACAATCCATCTTACTGGCTCATTTTAGTATGGTATTCGAAATATCAGAAGTAGAAGACACAACTGGCTTGGAGGTAACAAGGCGCCTCTTGGTGCTTCTAGTTAATCACAAAAGCCAGTGTCATATCTGAGATTCACAGGGATCAAGGATGACAAGTTTCTGAATCATATCCCATGGCCCCCTGTTCCTGGCATCCACATAACATTTAGTAGCATAAATTATAAATAAAGGCCAGACAATGTTGACAGATGTTTTTTCTCCAATATCAGTAGCCAAAATTGGGCAAATCAGCCTGAATTAGTAAGTCACACTCAAAATGAACTCTTAACATTCTTGTAGCACATTCTGTGAAGTACCCTTATTATAACCTCTAAATCATTGTTTTGTAACTAGAAAAATAAGCAAGCCTTCCTGGTCAAACACAGATTTTTAACCTCAAATGTCCAAGCCTATTCTGTTTAACTGCAGTCTAAATTTTGACTCTTAAAAATTCATCCTAACTGATGTAACTGGGGATCTGAGATTTAGACAGCACTGTCTGACTCAGATACAACTGGTGGGTCATCAAATACATTAGGGGAAAAATAAATAATTCCTACGCCAGGCCCTCTTACGTTTTGTTATGTAAGCAAATCATGCTAGGAGTTGGATGTCAACTTTTGAGAAGCCAAGACATGTTAAGATGCCCAAGGTAAAAGCCAACCCCAGCTCAGGTGTTGTTTGTAACTTGATAAGGATTTTACTAATGTAAGTGAGACTGCCTATACACAATCCTAAGGCCCATTTGTAATTTTTGCAATCTGCACTTCACTTTTATTCCAACATGAAGCCATGAAAAGCAAAGAAGTTTATCTTCCAGACTATTTTACTTGGAAACAAAGGGAGAAGCATGCAAGGCCAGGGCTGGAGACTAGATAGGTACAAAACTGGGGAGTTGTAGAACATCCCACACATCCAAAAAGTTTCTCAGAATATGGACAAACCCATTTGAGAGGAGTAGAAAATGTGAGGAGGAATTGTGGAGTGAGCATTCGATGTAAGCAGCTAGGACACTGGTTAGGATGCCCACCTCCCCCGCTGGGGTGTGCCAGCTTGCTCTCCAGCTCCTGACTTGTTTCCTCTTAAGGCGGACCCCGGGAAGCAGCAGTGATGACTAAAGTGGCTGAGTTCCTGACACCCGCCTGGAAGACCTGGATGGAGTCTGCAGCTCCCAGCTTGAGCCTGGCTTAGAACCACTGCTACATGGGAAATAAGCTAGTGGATGAGAAGGTTTTCTCTGTCTCTCTCCTGGATAAAAAAAAATTTTTTTTTTAATTTTTTAAAGGAGCAACTGGCCTTGGAAAAGTTGCTGAAAATACATGGAAAAGGCCACTGCTGTATTGACCCAGAATGGATGGAGGCAGAATCTTACAGGACCTCACTAGAAAGAGCTCCGAGCTATTGCTTGTCACATGTGCAACAAAATTCAGAGGGAACAGTCTTGCTGTCCTAGGTCTCTTCAACTTTCTGAACACATTAGTTTTATTTCATGTATTTAAAAATTGCTTTCATAGGCCATAAATGGAGAAC